TGTGGGTGTGTTGGTGTGTGTTGGTGTGTGTGTGTTTGCATGTGCACAACCAGTCTCGACCCGCCATTCACAGCCCACTGACTTAACACGTTACTGGGGCAACCACACCAGTTGGCCTGCTATGCCACATACCAGACAGACACATGTAGGAGAAATTATGGTATGTCTGCAGCCAGACCTAATCCCAGCATAACAAGGAGAGCAGCGGTGCCAAGTTTCAGCTATCAGATGTCTCCAGTCCCTTTAGGTCACAGTCTGGAGGCTTAGGTAAAGAAACAAAAATGGTTCATAGCTTTCATTTGTAATGCTCTGCTATCACCTTGGTCCTTACAGGAGATCAGTCAAAAAGATGTGGCACTTTTATCAGACTGAGAGCCTTTTCATCTTTGTCCATTTTCTATCAGAAAGTCTCGCATTTAGGTTTTTAGCGAACTGTCGTGTGATGAGATGGAAATTCAAACTGCTTGTTTCAGCTCATGGGGCCCAGTGTAAGTTAATACTCACTTTAGAGGGTTGTTACTGTGTAACTCACATTACCTTGTCACTTTACCCACTCTGCCACTTTCAAATGTGATGCTGCTGTGTTTGCTGCTGTTTAGCATTAACATTTATTCTGAAACTGTCCTTTAAGAGTGAAACGTCTTGACAGCTGTCACTGACATCAGGAAAGAATCCCATAACCTCTGCCGTTACAAAATCATTTATTGGAACAAAATGTTTTGTGCCTCTAAGGTTCTGTGCATAATTATTATCTTGGTACATAACTTACATAGTGATAATTTAAAAAGCTTGCTTCTTATTAGTGATAAGAAATGCTACATTAGATTACATTTTTAGATGAACAATGTGTGTGACATTGTCTTTGTTATTTTTATATCTTGAAAATTACATGAGATAAAAATAGATTTTTAGGCGAACAATGTTTGTGACAATGTGTTTGGTAGTTTTGCAACTTAAGGTCTGAGCATAGAGCTCTTAACTCTCTGTAGTGATAATCCCATCAAATGCACATTTCTAGAAATATTTTTATTATAAAACTAGGCAGCAGAATAGTAAATACACAGCATAAGAAGTAGAGATGAGACAAAGAATACAGCGCAATTTGACGCAAATGTTTAAGCTCAAGTCTTTGACAGCTGCAACGAATAGCTTCTATTGACTGTCAGAAATGTTTATCAGCATCAAAGTAGGTGATTGGTATTTCTGACTTTGTTAAAAGGTCACAAGAAACTAATCACTAATCTCCAGTTCATTCCTCTTGTAGCATCTTGTTTGAATTTTGTATGAATACAGATTAGTTACCTACAGAGTCTAAAGCTAATTGTTAGCCTAAGGGTGTTGAAGACCAAAAGTACGAAATTAAAAAAGGCCACAATAGTAATAACAGTGTGAAATATTGCAGTGGCAGTATGCAAAGTAATTAACCCACCATCTGTCATCATGATGTCCCCACCACCCTTCACGAGTTTGAACCAGATATTTACCTTTGAGTTCCCATCATGGTGCTCAGGAAATCAGCATACTTGAGGTGTGGCCTTAAAGTACATCAACAAAACATTGGTGTGCCTCCAGTTTGAAGTAAAATGTGTCAGTCGAGATCTGTTTATCTGTTTGGACTTGTAACTTATGGTACATTTTATTCTTAAACGCCCATTTTGGACAATAACTCCATCATTTCAAACACAAAACAGTAAGAGGTAATAGTGATAAATCAGTTTGTATTTATTTCTAAAAACATTGTTGTAAACTTTAGCTTATCAAAGTCAGAGTGATTAAAGCTGATAAACGAGGCTGTAAAAGTGTCTGAAATGCTATGAATTACATATTTGACTAACATGTTTCTGTGTGTTTGTGATTCCAGGTGGTGGGTCTCTATCGCCTGTGTGGCTCCGCAGCCGTAAAGAAGGAGCTGCGTGAGGCGTTCGAGAGAGACAGCCAAGGCGCGGAGCTGTGCGAAAGCATGTTCCCTGACATCAACGTTATCACAGGTAGCGTGATCAGCTGGGGCGGAAAACACAACTGGACCCGTCTAATCAGGGAATCTTTGGAATATCAATCACATTTTAGCGCAGTGTAACTGTAACTAGAACAATGTGACCTAATGACTTGAAGCCACTGAGGTGAAATGAGCAGTGATTGATAAACGTGGTTCCAGTGAATCTACAGACGAAACTAATGAGACCTTCGTGTGTTGGAGTCTGGGTTTAGTATTGATCTCAATCGGTAAACGTTCTGTCTGAGCTGGTGTGACCGCCTCACACGTGCACTTCTAGCAGTGTGTGTGAGTGCATGGTGTTGGTAAAAAAAGCATTCCAGCAGTCGACATATAGATCGATGCCTGAAGGGAAGCACAAAAACACAAACACACACACACACACACACACACAGATCAAACCCGGCTCTACATTCAGGTCATTCTTTCTCCACCAAGTTTGTGGGTTTGGACTTGTAATGGACTGTCCCCTCCCTGGTTGCCATGACTGAGAGGATTTCTGTTGTCATACAGTTTGGCCTGAAGTAAAGCATAATCAACAATATCACTTTTATTCTTTGTTTCTGTTTTGTTTTGTTTTTTTACTTTAAAATAAAACAGAGTAAGTGAATTGAAGAACAGCTCTGAGTTCATCAGCTCAGGGAGCAGAAAAAGTTGTAGAAAAAGACTTGAGTCATGACTTTCTTTTCCTGTGGAGGAAGGCCATGGAAACCAGTAGGCATTGTAGAAGCTGCTGTTGGTTTTAGAAAGAGGCCTCGCTTAGGCGTCGTTCCATCATGCCTGCTTTGATCCACATGCAGTTGCAAGGCAGAGCAAAGAACACAGTTAACAGTTGAACGGGCTGGAAAAAAAGGCCCTGCACCATCCAGGATTGTTGGTTTTTGCTTGCTGACTAAATTTGCTCTGCCAAGCGAGTTGCTGTGGCTGATAGAACTGAAGAGATGTGCTGGTTTGATACATGATGCCATGATCAAAGAGTTTTAATCTTGCTTTGTTATATTTCTTCTACTACATTCATTATTTTGGTCTTTTAAATTTCAGGTTTGTTTGAAATTTGTCTAATTTTACTACGTTCTAATTAAGGTTTATAAAACTAATCTCCAGGCCGTCAAGTGAGCAGCGTGTGGACGAGCTCGGAGGAGTGGCGCGTCACACGGCTAATTTAAAAGCACTGGCAGTGAAAGGGATTATCCTAGGGGTCAGAGTTCAACTCAAAGCTTGCAAAACATGCTCAGAGCATGGACCTACACTGTTTCAGATCAAATCCTTTGTTTCATATTCCAATACTAGCATCAATATAAAGATAAAAAAGGAGTATCTACAACAGGTTGGCATGGGAAATAGTTATTTTTGTTCATTTTGTTGTTTTTTTGTTTGTTGTTATGTCAACAACATTTTTGCAGAGTTTTGTGCATTCGTGGAAAAGCATCTTTCTCTATTTAATGAAGTACTGTATAAAAAATGTATAATAATAATAATAATTCTGTAATTATTTAATAGTAAAAAAAATACCACATTTACACATTTATTTTATACATTACAGAAGATAATACGAACAAGATTTTTTTCTTGATTTGTTCTGGAGTGCAGGTGACAAGAGTGTCAAATTGTTGTATTTGAATAAAATCCTCAGTGAATGCATGTGAAATGGACATTAATTGGGACAATTTGTTGTTATAAACCCTGAACCCAGAAACCAGCTGATGGATTCCCATCATGGCACCGTTCCTGCACAGTTCTGGATCTGAGTTTTGACTGATTTGCCATTTCCTCATCCTCCTTCTCCGCTTTGCCCCCCACCATCGGCAGTACTCCAGTGAAGACATGGAAAGTCATTAACAAGTGCCCCCTTTGTTGCCGAACAAACACAGATGGTATTTGGCTCACGCATGGGGGATTAGCTGAACTCTGGGCAGGCCAGGGGAGCAGGAGAGCGTTTTACAGAGAGCGGCAGGCAGGCCGGCTCTCTGGCCGTTGATTTGTTTCCTAAACTGCAAGTCAGAAATTAAGAACTAATTCAGGATATATTTATAATAAATCACCTCATAGAACAGGAGTGCAGCTGTTCCAGAGTTACAGAAATAGTTCTGTGGAAATTTTGAGCTAACCACTATGTAAAGATTCTCCGTGTGATTGGTGGAGGCAGCGGCACACACCTCAACCCACCCCCAAGTACTGTGGGGGTGTGCACAGCAGTGGGGCGGTTAGGATGGAGAACAAATCCACATTTGTTTTCCGGACGGGGCGCTGACTGCAGCACTGACAGGAGGAGTGACCCTCTGCTTTGTTTGAACAAGAGGTCAAAGGTAGAGCCATGCCCCAATGCATTGTGTGCCTTGTAGTGTTTGGTGGCACATTTGGGGTTGTGGAAAAGTTAAGCATGTAAGAGTTTTAAAGAATTGTCTTGATCGCAGAGATATGTCTTGTAACTAGAAGATATGCGCCAATCCAACATTAATATCTGTATATTTAAAAATCTAAATAAATTGATTATTGGAGACAATGTGCCTGGTCCATGAGGGCAGATCTATTCAGTCTAATTCTATGTTTTGTGCTCTGAAGGACATCATGCTTTGTTATTTATTTTATATTATATTTAGAATTAAAAAATAATACTTTTTGAACCATTTGAAAGAACGTTTGTTGAAGTTGATTTTTACATGTTTGACCTGTTGCTTTAGTCAGTTTCTGTTTCTTTTCTATTTTTTTTATATTGTTAAAGTTGTTTTTTTACATGTTGACCAAGTTTGAGAAGCTATTGGTGTATTTAAGTGTGCTGTACTGGTGCAGAGATATCAAATAAATTTGTAATGCAGTGGATATCTATGTTTAAAAAAAGAAACGTTTTAAGTCAATCCAGCAGTTTTTCTATATCGGATCGGTATCGGCTGAACCTCAGATATCAGTATCGTATCAGAAGTGAAGAAGGTGGATCGTACATCCCTAGTTCCTGTCGTAATGTGTGTATATACACATATGGAGTGTATTAATAGTGCCAAACGCCGACTGCTTGATTATAAGAGCGAACACAGCCAGTGGGTGTTTGTCAACTTGGCTGAGAAGGACGGTGAAGCACCTGCAGAGTAAACACACCTGTTCACCAGTGAGCCCCTGACTGACCTCATGTGTTCCTCATCAAGGTGTTGTAAGTGTGTGTGTGAGTGCGTGCATGTGTGTGTGCGTGTTCAGGCTCCTGCAGCGTCTAAGACACTAAAGTAAACACACGTCAGGATAATGATTTACCTGAATGGTTGTTTTCTCCTCATCTTACCCGAGTACCTGTGCACACACACACACGTACACACTCTTCCAGGGAATTTTTTTATTTATTTATTTTTTTCAGCATTGCAGAAACTGGGACGTGTATGAAATGGCTTCAAAGATGTTATGCAAAGCGAGGAAATAGTCAGGTTGTTTAGGTTTGCTACGCAGCTTTTACGTGAAACAGTCCAGCTGCTTGTTGTTGAGTCTGTCTCGGAGCGGAGGGAAGGTCAGAGGATCTGCCATGCAGGAGTTTCCATTTGAATGGAAGAAAAACAAGCTTTGTGGTAATTCTCATTAGATCTGGTTTGCCTACTTCCCTAAGCAATGAAAAAAAGTTCAGTTTAATGAGTTGGATGGATGAAAACAGATGGAATTATTTTTGCTTCCAGTTTTTTTTTTTCCTATGATGAATCAGTCTGATTATTATTTTCTGACTGAGTTTTCCATCAGCGCTGTCAGTGGAGAACCGGGACGATGTTTGTTCATCGGTTATCTGGTTTGGAAATCAACTAGCGCTGGGAGTCATTTAGGGGAATGAATGTAGCTTTTATTGATGTTATCAAATGTTGCTCATTCATATCACATATGACTAAGGCAACGACACGAAGCATGAATGGAAGTGAGTCAGGTTATTAAATGTGCTGGTTCACAGGGCACAGGAGGTGATATTTAATGAAGATTCCAGTCTGTTTGCAGGAGCGCCGTTAAAACCTGGCCCAGCTGCTTTACAGCTGATATTGTGCTTGTTTACCTGTGATACCAGGGCTGATATGATATCTGCTTTGTTTGGGTACAGGTTGATTTTTAGCAGATGTTTCAGAAATACATTATTGTTAGGTGTGTTTTTTTTATGTCTGGTGTTTGTAAACAGTGTAAGCAGTTTTGAACGGCCCTGAAAAGTTGTCTGGTCCAGATCAACTTACAAGACCAAAAACTAAAAACATTTGCACTGCTTAAATAGTATATCCACAGCTCCACAAGTTATACAGTAAGACGTATAAACATTAACATTTCAATTTTGATGATTGTGAATACAAAGATGCTGGTAAAAAGAGTTTACAGATTAGTGCAATCAGCACCTTGATGCCAATTGGCTGCGTCCCACAGAGCAGAGAAAACGAGAACTGTGGATGCTAGCATCTGTAGTGCCGATGTGCTGCGGGTATTAATGAATATTAAGATATTTTTAATGCTTAAACTATTAAAACAGACAGCTCGAAGTCATTTTATAGTGAATCTGCTATTTCTGTTTCCAGTTTGCAATACTGAAGATGCATTCAGCATTCATTGAATGCATCTTAAAAAGTAAGATAGAAACTTTTTATTTCTTATCACCTAAAACCAATGCTTTAGTTGAAGATTTGAGCTTTTTAATTCTAAAGAAACTGTCAGACGATGGACCAACACGGCAGTCAAAAATAGCCGTAAAATGCTCTAAGCCTCAGGTTCTTTTAAAAAGAAAAGCAGTGGCTTACACGGATTAAAAACTTAGCACATTAAGGTGTGCCTAAGAGGATGGCCGTGGATTCGCTTCAGACTGTACTGCTAGAAATAGAAGGCACAAGAAAAGGATGCTAATCACTCCAGGTGGACCGGAGTGATGAAGACGAAGATCCTAAATCCAGCTCAGTAATCAGCGTTGGTTATGTGAAGCGATTGTGTTGCTGCTTTGGGAATTTCTAGGAAGTGATAGCGGTTGTCACATCTACATTGATCCCACTGCGATCTGGTTTTATTCAGCACAGACAAGTTGGGACTGTTTGTTCAACAAGCCTCTGGAAAGGCTGACAGCTGTTTGAACAGAAGTTTTATTTGTCTTTTCGATATTTCTGTGTTCAAAATGTTCAAAACTTGTCAGTAAGATTCAGTGAGGGAAGGGTTCATTGACAGGGGTCCAGCCTGATGGTGGTTTTCAGGGTGGATCAAGCATGAAGTGATTTTTCAACCTAAAGCCCACAAACATGCAATATTAGTTTTTTTTCATGAGCTGAGATTTTTCTTTGTTGCTTATTACAAATTAGTGAAATGATAGCGCTTACTCTATATAGTCCGCAAATTATATAATGATTTTACTTAACATTGTCTTCCCAATGCAAACCTCTGTGATACTCTTGTTGTGTACAATTCTGTCACCAATGCCAAGTAATTAAATAATTACTTTACAAGTAATTATTTTAAATTGTTGTGCCTTTCCTATATTGTTTAACTCTTTAGTACTGTTTAAGTTAAAGGGCTTTTTAAAAGCTTTATTTTCTAACCTTTAAACTCCTAATTTAAATTCTTAACCACTGCGTTCTTGTACACCAAATTATGTTCATGCAACCCATTATTATTCATATTCCTGGTAAATTTAGATATAAAATAATCTCCATTCAAGTTATAAGTTATTAAATAAAATATACATTTTATTTGCTTTTTATTAAAGAATAGCATTTCAGAAGGTATTTAAATCCTTTGCAATAATCAGTGGAAATAAATATTTATTGGCATTATAACAGAATATTTTTTGTAAATTAAAAGTTTGAATTCAAGAGAGTAGTCGCATTAATTTAAAAATACGTTTCACAAAATGTTAGCATTCTTGGAGGTGGCTGTATCTTTCTGAAGATTAGAGCTACTTACAGGCAGAACCAATAATGCTAATTACACAGCCGCTAGCCTTCCCTGAAAACCGATCCAGCTTCATGTAGAGGAAAATGAGAGCAGACATTCGCTCTCAAAGACCTGTCAGGCTGCCAGAAACCTTTTTTATTTTTTTTAATTCTCCCCTTTTGCCTTTGAAGAAAAGACATGCCAGGAGCTTAGTGGAGACAGACAGCGTCGGTTTCATGTTGTTCTGAGGCTTTTGTCTGAGCTACAGGAGTCCAAAGTCACAGGTGTTAAACCAGACCCTCCCCAGTCTCCCAGCACACTTAGAGCCAGTGCATCACACCCTGCACAACCAGGCCGCCTGCCAGACATCATAGGATCGCTAGCAGAAATAATGGAGCCTCATTTGGTAGATATTCATTTCCTATTTTACAGAAAGATGTGAATGAAAGACGGCTTCCTAGCTCCCCGCACATTTCATTCTGTAAGAACAAGGTAAATAAATTGTTTTAGAGAGGTATTAAACCATTCTGATAGTCATGAAGTTTTATAATGATCCCAATAAATTTATACATTTTACTTTATGAATATAAATATAAATATTCCAGGTTTGGGAGGATTGTAGTCTTCCCAAACTACCAGAGGTGCTTGTAGAGTGGAGCCATATTATCAGGATTTTTCTAGTATAGATAAAAAGAATAGTATTTTACATTTTCATTTTAAAAATATGAGAAATTTAGATATAGCTACATTAAAACATAAGCTACTTGGGATAGAGAATATGGATATATATTTAATCTCCAGCACAGATGAAGAGAAGCCAATATGTCTGATAAATCATATAATTCCTATGAGTTTAAAAGAGGGGTTCTAGAACAGATCTCTGTGGCACTCCAAACATTATGGATCCTAGCAACTAATCAGAAATGTTTACTAAGTTTAGTCCTTTAAACAAAACAAAAACTTTCTTTTTCATCGTAGTTAAACACAAATGTCTGAAAACCTGAAAATCATCTGTTCAGATTGAACTATGAGTCATATTTCCTCATGCTCAGTCATCTTTCTGTTCCCCTCGGCAGGAGTACTAAAGGACTACCTGCGTGAACTTCCCTACCCTTTAATCACCAAGCAGCTGTATGAGGCGGTGCTGGAGACCATGGCCACCAGGCCCCTCAAGATGGCCGCTGCGGGGTGCGAGAACGATCCGGCAGACTCTGAGTACACCGTGAGCCTGCTGGAAATCCTACCGGAGGTGGAGAGGGTAAGTTAAAAATACGGCCGTCACTGTGCTGTGTCTTACAGTTTCATGGCTGAAGATACATTTACAAGGGAAGCTATGAGAGAGGTCACTGTGGCTAAGCTGCTGGCGGCTGTGGAATGACAGCAATGCCCAAGATTGCTACTGTTACGACATTACGTGTGTTTTCAGAGTAGTGATAGTAGCAGTGCTAAGTGGTTTGCAGGGCTGTACATGTCATTCTTGGAGGAAAGTCTAAAGTTTATTACTGACAATGCACCTAACAAACCAGTTTAATGTCTCAGCTGCGAGGAAACATAATTACTGTTATGGTACCAATAAAACCAACCTATAAAGATTTATATATAGTAAAATGTTAAATGCTTTGGTGCAAATTATAGATTTACAACTCAGTCAGTTGACCTACTTGGAATAAAAATTAAAATGATACTAAAATGATAAAAACTAAAAATGTCAATAGTAAAACAATGAGTAGCTTTATTACCGTTGCTAAAAAATAAAAGTATTGTGCATGAATAAATAGATGTGCACATGGTTAAACTTATCCTTTAATATCTTATAATTAAATTTTAGCTTTCTGTTTTCTAGCATAGGAGGTTGTTAGCATCCCACATCTTGATTTCTTTGGTTCCTTTGGTTTTTGGACTCTGGCAAGCCCATTTTAAAACTTTAGTGTGTCTTTCAAACTGTTGATAACAACAAAAACCCAGTTCCATTATGTGGGAAAGTAACGGTACATGGTAAACAACCTGTGTTTGTATAGCACCTTATCATCCCAAGGACTGAAAAGTGTCTCACCCTACAATCAGGCATTTGCCCATTTAACCACCAACAGCAGGGAAGGCAGGGGAAGTGCCTTACCTACGACTGACAGGTAGAGCGCTGGGCTTCAGCCTTCTGCAAAATTCTTAGTTTTTTCAAAGAAAAGACTTCTGTCATCCAAGCAAACTTCTCAGTCCAAACATTATAGGAAATACAGAAGATTTCCATCACATGTAAATAAACAATTTAAAAGTTTTTCTTCCTTAAAGTGATAAAAACTGAACTGGTTTGTAAAAGGAGAAATTAAAAAGTAAGAGGTTCTGCTGTCAGACTTTTGGCAATCTTCCTGATCAGTTTCCATCTTTCATTAATTGATAATAAAATGTTTGATTTTGTAATGTCACTGTCTCCTCATTTTTTACTCCACTTATGATTATTTTGACTGCTTTGACCTTTGTACCTGTATCCTGTCCTTTCTGTAAAGGACACAAATAAATTGAGATTATTAAGGTTAAATAAACAAACAATGCTTAGCCTGGTGGGGCTCAAATAAAACCCGCCAGGCTTACAACACGCTGGGGGAAACCCTGATTTGATCTCATGTCTTACCTTGAAAATGTGGCATCTTAATAAGAGGGGAACACCGAGTAGATCATCTGTTTCCTGCTCCTGCAACAGATTAGCTTGATGAAGAAGAGGCTTCACTCTGATACTCCTCTGCTGCTGACAGTGGTAATACTGCACCTACTAATCAGCATAATGACATGTCTAATTTGTCCATGCGTATGTGTGTGTCTGCATTAGATGACTTTGCGGAAGCTTCTGGACCATTTGAAGCGCGTGGCGTCCTACCAGGAAATGAACAAGATGACATGTCAGAACCTGGCGGTGTGTTTTGGCCCAGTGCTGCTCAGCCAGCGTCAGGAGGCGTCGTGCCACACCAACCGCGTCTTCATCGACTCAGAGGAGCTCGCTAGCGCCCTGCACTTCAAAAAGCACATTGAAGTCCTGCACTACCTGCTGCAGCTCTGGCCAGGTGAGCCCGACAACCTTCTATTTTGCTTTTTTGATTCACTTGCATTCAAGTCGTGCTGCTCCTTTTTATGGAGTAGTTTACAAATTGTTACCAGCTTTGTGGCTCAGCTCTAAAAATGAACTGGGCTGCTTTGATCACTGAGGTTCCAGGCTGGCATGAGTGTGGCTGATAGCCACCGACCGCCATCTTTGGTTTTTCTGGGAAGCAACTCCCCACATGTGCTTTATCGTGGTGGCTGAGCCAATCAGAGCCAAGCCAGCAAGCCCAGAGTAAACCCAATTTATGAGGCGTATCCTCGCCGTTCTATGACAGATCAGTCCTCCAGCAGAGTCCTAGCTTTCCTCTGTGCGGCCCATCTGTCAGCCGCCACAGCTGTTCCTGCTAGCTGCAGCTGTCTGCTGTGAAGTATGAAGGAACCCAAAGATTATTCCAGAAAGCACTTAAGATCAGGGATGATAAATGTTGCAATTAAGGAAAGGTTTGTGCTAAATGCAAGTTTACTCCATTTCTTTTGACATTTAGTAAACATTTATGTCATCCCTGTATGAAAAAACTGCATTTTTTTAGATTTTTACATTCAAGGAATATGTTTCAACCATTCCCATATTGAAAGTAATGCAATAATATTGGTTGCGTTCTTGAATAAAACAAAATCATGTCAAATTTTAAAACTACAGTCTTGCTACAAACCTCTGTTAGATTGTTTTACAGAAGCTTTATTTGTAAAGTTTTAGGCATTCATCTATTTCTGCTTGAGCCTGCTAAATGTAGCTGCATCCTCTGAATCCTGCTCTTAACTAACTTTGTTTTAAATGCATAAGAAGCTATTTTAGAAGAAGCTATTGGTAGCTGTGTTGAGTTTCATGGGAGAGATAAAAAAAAATACGTAAAAAAAAAATTAAAGGGTGAAAAAATGGCAATGAAATTACAATGTTTACTCAAAAGAAACGGGGCGTTAAAGTCTCCAGTTTGAAATTGAATGCATTAAGAAAATATTTCTATGTTGATTTATCCAGTGAGGAACATTAAATCAATAGAGTAGCAGATCAGGGATGATGGAGATCCAACAGTCCGGCACCCTACCCAAGGATTTAAAGGTGTTCTTTAAGTTATTGCAGAATTGAATGGCTGCTCGAGATGAAAAGAGTTTCAAAACACAAACATTATAAATTCAGACATTTTCTGCTGTTGTCCTGCTCACAACTGACACAGATGTGGATCAAAATCTTGCCCCAACTTAGAACATGACCATAAAAGCGATTTTTTTGCTGTCAGAACTTGATTTTAAGATTCCTTATCTTTCTAAAATAGAATATTGATTCTTAAATAACAAGAGCTTCAACATATAAAAACATATCCAGAAAGGAAGCCTGTGTGAGATGTAATAACTGAAGCACAGGGTGAATTATATACATTTCAGAAAAAATGTCTTTCTTTCTTTTTAGGCCCTTAGATATGGATAGAAATAAAGTGAGCTGGTTTTTAAGTTTTAGACTGAAGCAATTCCTGAGAAGAGTTTCTGGTCTTTTCTGGCTGCCGTCTGTAATAACTTCTACAAGAAGCTTTCATTCCAGGTTCAGGCCTTTGTTTACACCCTCACCTCCATTCCATCCTCTTCCCCAGCACGGACTGGAAGACGCCTGGACTGTAATTAAAGGCATTCCAGACTTAACCTTACCCTTCAGCCCCCGGAGCTTCACCCTAACATTTCACAATCATTATGAGATATTTTCAGCCACCACTTCACGCCTCTTACACACACATACCAAACGCGATTCAAAGCCTCGTTGAGCAACATGCGCATGGGGGCAAAGGCGATGGCATCCGACGGCTGCTGGTGGGAAAACACTGGAGGCATTTACAGAAAGCGTGAGAGAGCGGGCAAAGCTGACGGACAGCTATATGTTGGGCGTGTTTTCTAACTGCGAGAGAGAAAGGGCATGTGTCTGTGATGAAGGAACAGCATGAGGGAAGCGTCTGAGTGTATTTGTTTACAGAAGAACTCTGGTTGAGCTTTAGCATGATCTGGGACAATCAACATCTAGTCACCACTTACTGGACTGTCTTTATTAACCCTTTCATGCATAGTGGTCACTACAGCGGACAACTGTCTAAAAGCCATTTTCTTGTGCTTTTTGTGAATTTTTATGTTATAAATGCACACAGACCACTGAAGTGGACATTAATGCATCATAAAATACTCTATCAACTACTGGCCATCAGCTGCAAATGCAAGAAATTATTTTTGTTAAATCCAATATGGCCGACAGACAAAAAAGCATGCCGACCGACCCGGTCCCTCCTTCTACTGTAGACGACTCTTGCAGGTAAAAAGAATATTGTGACATCAGATAACCCCTAAAGAACAATACTACTGATGTATTTTACAAATAACAACTTTGTATTTGGAGAAAATTACAATTGATTACCTAAAAAAAAAAGAAAAAAAAAAAGAAAAAGTGTTTACAATTTTTTTTATGCCTTAAGAAAAAGGTACAAAAAAACGGAAAAAATCCTGACACGAAGGATCATAATCCATGCATAAAAGGGTTACTAGATTAAGTATTTAAACTTAAATATAAGATTTTTTTGCACACATTTAGTTCCAAAAAGTAAAATAAGAGAATATTATTGAATTGTGAACATCTTTTTGCAAATATCTGAAAAATGCAATTTGTTTTGTAAATCCGTCCAATTTCATCGTGAAAAGTGTTTGAAATATCAGAAAATATGGAAAAGAAGCAAAAACAATAGAAGTTTTTGGAAGCAAGAGTCACTATAAAGAACTCGTAGTTTAATTGTGAATAACTTCCTAAGATGATGAATGAAGTAAAGTTGCACCCAGGTGACATTTTTTATTCAGTAAAAGCTCAGAGATAAAATGGTTTAGGTGTGAAGCTTTACGGTATGAAATGGACAGGAAGTGCTCAAAATGAACTGCTGCTAACGTCCCTATCCAGATCGACTGAGCTGATTTCCCCATGTCGTCTCATTGCCTGAGCTCCTTGGCACTATGCATGCACACTCAGTTTTCCTCCTACCAGCCAAATAATTATGGGTTCAGTTACTCAGAAGTACTCAAAAGTAATCCATTCTGCATTTTAATAAAAAGTCTACAGGCCTCTCCTGGGCTTTTGTGAAATAAAAGAGAAATCATTTCAGAACTTTTGCCACCTTTAATTTGACATTTAAACTGTATAATCTGCCAGATTGTGAAGGAATGTGCAGACTTTTTCAGATTATTTCAACCTTATATCACAAACTTCACATGTGATTTTAAGAAAGCAAGATATTCTCACAGTTTCTTATAATGACTCAAAATGTTTCAGGCTTCTAGAAACAGTTAACAGAAATTAACTAAAGTAAAACTGAAGTTTTCCAGTTCCTTCTTTTAATGATTTAATTCATGGCATTAGTGAATCGTGTCTGAAACTGAACAACACTGTCTCTGAATAGGGAGGATAATGTCTGTAGCCTCGGGTCTGCTGTTGGGTATGAACATATACGTAAATGTAGAAGCCGTTGAGATGACAGAAAAAAAGCTGACGTCTTTCATAACTCAACATTTCTGTTCTGGGAACACTGGAAAAAAACAAACGTTTCAAAAAACAAGCAGAATTTGTGATCTCTTTGCGACTTTCTTTTCTAAGTACAGAACGTGACTCTTAACGCCAAAACTGTGTTTTATTCTTTTCCAATGCAGTAAGAAATGGTACATAGAGATAAAGACAGACAGGTAACCAGACTGCGCTGACTCTGTGGTCACTCACTCTTCCTTTTCATGGGGCAGTCACGTGATTTTTTTTTTTTTTCCATGGGGCATCACTTTGGTTAACTTTTACATTTTATTCAGTCAGCAACAGGCTGGCAACAAAATCACAAAGCGTGGGGCGTGACTTTAGCATGCGCCCGAGTTGGCATGTTCCTTCATTTGATAAAATTACTGCTTGGACGCCTTTAAATAGCAGCAAGCAGTTCCTCCATAAAATGAGAATTTATTTCTTTTGCTCTGGAGGATTTTATTGGTGCTCAGATCATCCAAAATCACATAATACATGATTTTTATCTTCAAAGTTACAAAAAAAAATTATTTCTGTCTTTCTGGAAAGAAATCTCTTCTTTGCATGGAGCAGCCCAAGCTGGAGTACTTTTACCTTCTTTGTATTGAAATAAAAGGGAAGCAACAAAGCAAGTCACTTTATGTGCAGCTGAGCCTACAGAAGCTAAAACTTTCTCTTTTCAAACCTTTGGCTTTTATTTGCTTGTGATTTGTAATTATTGGTTTCGATCAGGAACATTATCAATCAATGTAAAATAAGATATTCTGCAAAATCCTAATTTAACCACTTCATTAGTTTGGGTTTTATACAATGCATATCTGAATAACTGCAATTTTTACAGCGGCATCTGTGTAGATTGTAATAGGATTAAAAAGCTGCTTTGTTTCTGTAATTCAATTCAATCCTAACTCCATAAAGTATTTTTGATTCAAGTTTTTAGTTTGGTTAATGTTTTACACTTAATAAAAACTGAAATTATGTTTTTTCAGAAAATTTGAATATTGCATAAAAGCAACCTAAAATTCTTATTACCGAAATATTTAGTAGTTTTCTACTAAACTACATGTTCAGTCAATAACCATGAACATACCTCATTATTATAAGTAATTATTATTATTTTTTTTTTATTTTTTTTTACCAAAAAGATGATTTTGGGAAGAAAATGACTTGGGCCATTACATTAGGAAGGTGGCGAGAACATATTTCTGCATTTAAAAAATTATTTTTTTGAATTTTCTCATGTAATATTAACATTTTCTGAAAAACTGAATTTTGGATTTTCACTAGTTGAGCCAAATTCATGCAAATTAACAGAAATAAAAGCTTGAAATATCGCAAACTTATATAAGTTTTACTTTTTTTAAATTTAATTAATGAAAAAAAAAACTACCTGGATGCACCGTTAGTTACTTAACTTTTGGGTCTTTAAACAAATCTGCCTTGCTAACTTTTATGATTTTTTATTTATTCTATGGTAGTCTGATTAATTTATTCTGTTTTTTGTTTTTTTTAATCTCTCCCTGTAGTTGTGGACCCAAATGACCAATCGTCTCTTCGGTTCCCTGCAGCCCCTCCTCTGAGACGCAGGAAAGAGCGCCCCCAGTTTTTAAACCTCAGCGAAGCAGAGATGGCCGGTGTCCTGCGGCCCAAACCGGGACGTCTGGACAGTCCCAGCAACAGATATGCTGGCGACTGGAGCGGCTGTGGTGAAAGCTACTTCCCCTCTGAACTGCTGCTTCCTCCCAGTAAAGAAGAAGCAGACTACGACGATGTGCCGTCTGAAGACACAGAGGCAGCCGAGGAAGCCCACGAGAAGGACGCAGCAGAGGAAGATGACCAGGAGAGGGCCACAAGTCCTGCATCTGATCTCCGTGTGGAGGAAGAACCTCAAAGAGAGGAGTTTGTGAAAAAGGATGATAATGGGGAAGAAGAGGAGGAGGAGAAAGAAAGCGAGAGCGACAGTTCAAACAGCACGCTGGCTTTTGAAGAGGAGGAGGCGGAGGAGAAAGTGTTTAACCACATCCTGCCTAAAGAGCACACTTACCAGGCGTACATGAAGATCCAGGACATCAGTCCCGTTCTGAGCAACAGGGTCAATCTGAGAGACCTGCAGGAGAGCATCGACACCCTAATAGGAAACCTGGAACGAGAACTAAACAAGAACAAGCTCAACGTCGGATACTGACTACTACGCAGGCACACACGCATATCCATTTGTAGACCCATAAACACAGACGTGGTTTGAGGAGGACCTACTGTACTGATCAAGGTGCTTCGCAAACACCCACAGTGTTTCCGCAGGAATCCTGTGGCTTGTGGTGCTGCTGTAATAAGTTACAAGGTGAGAGGAGAAGAAATGAAACGGGGCACTTCTAGAATTTCTACCTTACCCACAGACATTCCATCATTTTTTTTTTGTTTTATTTTGTTTTGGTTTTTCATGTGTCTTACATCATGTGGTTTGTTTTGGTTTGCATTCTTTCCTGTTCCGTGTTCCATGTTGTTATTGTTGCTTTTCTTCTTATTAGAAGAACCCATTGACCCCTCAGGGTTTTAAAAGGTGCCTTAATTGTGTGAAGGTGGTGCGTCAGGAGGAAAATCCACCCTGAAAGAAAATACGTTATCTCCTGACAGCTTGATTGTACAAACAAAATAACATCTTTGGATATTTTAATCGTCCGTTCTACAATTTTGGCAACGGACTACAGACTGGTCTTAATTTCAATATCCAAAAAGTTTTGGTTTTAATGATTGAAGCAGATATTTTTTTTGACCTGAGAAATAATCTAACAAAAAAAAAAAAAATGAATTCACATCTGTTTCAGAGCTGCTACCTGTTACTGCCTGTTTTTGATTTGAGTGCTGATTAAAACAAGCCAAGTTTTTAGGAGAAACATGTCATTTTCTTTTATTAAAGTGGATTTCCTTTTTAAGGCAACGGAGAGCTTTTCTGTCGAGGTACAAGAATATTATACAACATTAATGCACTTATTAGGCAGGTAGCTGAGTAGATTATCGTGCTTTTTAGAGTTAGAATAACTGACTGTGATTTGAATAAAGTGAGAAAATGGGCCAGCGGAAAACTCCTCTTAAAGATAAAAAAAATAAATAAACATGAATTTTTGTTGCGCTTGCAAGGTACTTTGATAAACATCTCATGCTGGAGGTCATAAAAGTAACCAAATGCTAAATTTACTTATTTGATTTCTTATTAGATGGGAATTTTGACACATTTAGCTCAACTTAGTAGCTAAACTTATTTTAATTTAGCATAAAAGTTACAGCCAACTAGCTTAGCTTTGTGAAACAAAAATACATTTTCTCTTTAGTCATCTTTGTGCTTCACTAAAGTAGGCTCAAACAATCTAGATGTCTGTCTTCTCATCTACAGCAGCAGAAAATGTTTTCATTTGGTAAATAAATATAAGTTGCAGTAATAGAGAAATTAGTTTTTTGTTTTTTTTTAGCTTAGCATGAAAATCCAAGCTAGCTAGCCCAACTTTGGGTGAAAAAAAAGCTTTTTCTTTATGCTTTTTTAAAACAAACAACAGAAGACCATAAGCTAAATAATGAAACAAATGATGTCAACATTAGTTTTCTGTAGCGATATTTAGAAGGCCTCATCCAGTTAGCATCTGTTACCTTGCTGCCTAAAGCAACAAAGGAGATTTTCATCAATCCAGGGATTCAGAGTGATCAGTATTTAACCTATATGGATATGTATATAATTATATAAATGTATTTGGAGTATATTATTTTTACATCCTATATTTCAATGGCGTATTTAAAAAAAACTTCTGATGACCTTGTAGTGTTGACGGCAGTCGTGTAAATCTCCCTTTGAGCTACCTGTACACATCTTAATGTGCTGGACTAATGATACAACACTAGCTGTAAAATATATGATAAAATGCTATTGGTGTTGTTATTATGTTGTGTATATATTTGAGCTAATCTGTGTCTGGTGGACTGAGATGTGTTCATGACTTTTGGTGTGTTTTTTATGGTACTGAACGTTGCATGGTCAAAAGCTTTACCAACATAAGCAAGGCTCTGTCTGATCTGCCATTGTATTTCATATTTATGTGTAAAATAAGACTATTTTATAATGTATGCTTATTTGTTTGACCACTTGTTACTTAGATAAACTGATGATGGGATTGTGTTTTCTTCTAAAGGATGTAGAGGCGGAGATTGATTAAGATGCACAAGATTTTTTTTTATAAATATGGTACCATAGTCAAAAAGTGACTACATTATTACCACATGATATCTTCTGGGCCTTCTTATAAATTTATTTGAATTTTAAGGTCATTTTTATAATTTGAAAGAAGCTTGAACTAAAAAAAAGTAACTTAAGTATAAGATCAGTTGTAGCCTTGACCCATCTGGAGAAAGCAAGTGAGATGGGGCTAAAATTTAGCTAAATCTTATGAATTGTTTAAAAAACAGATAAGTTGTTGTTTCTATTTTTTAAGTGTGACTTTGTTCATCTGCCTTATCATAAATAATTGTCTGTTTCACCGAACAATATTTAGAGTCACAGGCATTTTCCAGATTTTTTTTTAAAGAAGTTTTGTGTTACAGAATTTAAATCTGCTTATTGTGACAGTCTGTAATGTATTATTTAAAACCCTGTAGTCATGGACCTTAATGTTTAGGACAAATGCAAACAAACTGAATTTTTCTCTAAGAAGCGGCAAACTCAAATTTAAAAGTATGTTTTTCAGTGGATTTCTTTTAGTTTCATTTATCAGTGAACTGCTGAGGGAGTCTGATGAAATATCCTCAGCAAAGTTGTTTTTAAACTATCTGCCTGCAAAGAGAACAGGAAAAAAATGCTGAGTAGTATTCATAAAACTCATGGAGGAAGATTAGTTAATTTCATCCATTTATTAAATATGCAGACCGTACCTTAAATCCAAGAAACATTTTAGTGATGATATGAGATCTAACGGTAAGGTTTATTACATTCAGCATGGTTACAGCACATTGTTGTTATATTTGTTATTACAAATAACATTTGCTTCATTTTGTTGCATCACATTTTCGATATAATCATTCTTTTCAGTCTCATCCTCTTTGTCCTTTAGATGAGAAAGTGCCACACTGAACGCATCTCTAAACTGAACCGATAGGCGCTTTGTATTGAACCCGAAAAACATGGTCATAATAAAGATATTATTTTACATTCATGTTTGGTTGCTGCATGTTTTCAAACTATCTGTTTAGTTTGTATTTGTTTTCCTCAAAATGCAACTTTTATGTCAAATTTAAACCTAAATTTGGGTGAAAATAAAAAGATTTATAGTACTAAAATGTATCAAATCAGAGGTTTGGTTAATTGGAAAACATGCATTGCAAAATAATTTTCAGGTTTGCCTTGATAATTAGCATTTGTTTTAGTGCAGTATATTTCTTTTTTATGTTTTCTGTTACTTCCATTTGTTTTGAAAACCAAAAAACAAACACCTGTGGATAATGACAGGCGGTTGCTATGGAGACCGACGTCCTTATCTGCATTGCTGGTAACTCTCATCTTTTATGTATGTTTGGCATCAGAGGGAAGCATGAAGTCCTCTAAAATTTAAAGTTTAAACTTGGACAAAAATGTTGATGGCAGTTGACCAAATCCTCACCGAGTGTGGAACCTTCACTCTGACCTCAAAATGATTGTTTAGGCCATAAAACCATAAGAGAACATGGATGCTGAATATTAGGATTTCTTTAGCTGTAAGCCTTAATAAAAATGAATGTTTTAAATATACCAGCTTACCCATAATGAATCTGTTATCTATAAGTTTCCATTTTCTATTGAATTACTCAAAGGGATAAAAATTTCCAATGTAAAACTAAACCAGTATAAGGACTGAATGGTGAGGTTTTACTGCCTCAGCTCCATACAAAGCAAGTTTCGGTGGTTCTGGGTGAAAACCACAGAGTAGAAGCACAAAAACCAGAGCGGTAATCCTTTTCCTACGTTTATGTCAAGCCTTGAACTCATTCATAAGAAAAGCGTTTTAAACAAAGACACAAACGCATCTCTTTCTATGTCATACATTCGTCTTAAAGATGTTATTTTCTTTTTTAGATTATTTGCAGAACTGCAGAGTTGTTGCACCCAAACCTCAGTGGATAGATTCATTGGGGAATTGCCCATGTTGGTCTGTGGGAATCTCCCAGAATGACTCCTGGCTTCAGGGACATTCCCAAGATGCAGCTGCTTTTTTAACTCGCAAGCTAAATTAATTCATTGTATCTAGTTTCCTGCAATCATTTCCACTATTGTAGGAAATAATAAAAAATAAATGTAAAATGAATGCAAAGAACTTGGTTGCTGTCATGGTTCAGGTTGAGTCGATACAAATCTCTGCTAAATAGCATGAGAAGTCAAAGCAGCCAGACGCCTTTCAGCACTAAATGGTTTTCAGCCGTGTTTGATGTCACTTCAGAGGGTTCCTCTCATGTTTTTTATCACAGCTCTGAGCAGGTATGAGAAAGTTTTAGGATACAGAATGTACACATATCTGTCTGCACTGCACAGCCCTGTTTAAATTCCCACATGTCCATTCTCCAGAAGCACATCCTGCCTGGAATTTATGTGAAGACAGAGCCAAAAATTCCACCAGCGGTCTCCGAGTGTATATAATCTTTCACACGAAGGAAAATGTTTTTGTCAGTTTCAAAGTTAATTTTGGCTCTTTGGAGATGGATCTAATCCAGCTGAAATATTTATTCGTAAAATCTTTAAACACGTGGAAGAGAGTTGGCTGCAAACAATTCCTGTTTCTAAATATACTTTGTTTAAATTTGACTTGCGAAGGTTTCCTTACGAAAGCAAGAGTGAAAACAAAGGCAGACTTAATAACACAGAGTGTTTGGACAGTCAGGGTCGCCCACTTGATATCAGAGCTTCTGACGTAGTGAGCTGAACTTTCCTTCATTTCTAATTTGGGAGAGCAGAGAAATGAGCCGGCTTAGGTAAACATCCCGGACAGCCACCCACATGAGGAACAGACCTTCTCTCTTCTTCTCTCCATCCTCCGTCGCTCCCTAATCTCTGTTGACCTTTGATTCAGGATACTGGTTGCATGTCAGCCGACCAGCCGCACAACACACAGTCTTTGTTTGACTTCTTTTTCCCTTTTTCTCGGCTGTTAACCATGGCAACAAAATCTGCAGTTTAATGGAGATGGAACTAAAATAAGTAACTTAAAATAACTAATTTGATTATACAAAATCTCTCTGTTTTCTTTATAATAATAATAATAATAATACAAGGACAGATTTCTCTGATATCTTAGAATTTTATTATTTTATTTATACAGCTGAATTTTGAGTGAACTTTAGCATGCAGACGTCTTCTGTATTTTGTGTTAGCTAAAGTTGACTTTCTAGTTTAGGTAAATTCACATCAAAACCACGTTAACTTTGTTCCTATTCCAAGTTTGGAGATCAGAAGGATTTGTCATCTGATGGGGTCAGAGGTCAGGATTGCTACTACAAAACATTTGTTTTTATATAACCCAACAGCCTGGAGAAAGTCTACAGCCTGCCGTGATGTGTTAAGATGGTGGTATGCAGAAAGATAAGTATGAGTTATGTCTGTATTTTTTTCTAAGAACCAAATCTAGAATATTTCTCATTTCACTGGTACTGAAAACTTAGCACACCCTAGGATAGGATATTAAACACCTTGTTGGACTTGAGGGAATCTAAAACCTTGTTAGGGTCAGAGAAAACAAGGTGGTTTGAAATGAAATACAAAGCTTAGATAACTTGCTCATCCCTCACAGACCAATCGGCGTGTCCCAGAATCCCTCACACAATGGCTTTCTTTGGCTGAGGAATGCAAATATGATACATTAGTGTGGCTTTCCTGAAATATTTTATTGTAACATATTTCCAATGCTACTGGCTGCCCACTATTTTTAAGCGAATTAGAACTAACTTAAATTCGACCATATGTTCAACTCAGCAGGAAAAAAAATAAATATATATATATATTTTTTTTAAATAAAATATATATATATATATATATATATATATTTATTTTATTTTATTTTTTTTTGCAGTCATGTTTATTTTATGATAGAATTTATGAGAGACTGTTAAAATGGAAACATTGACTACTCTGCCACTCACACACCTCACTTACTTTCATGTGGAAGAGATGCAGTTTATTTTACAGAATTAGCAAAAAAAATTAGCACTGTTTTAAATTGAACAAAATGGTCAAACCTGTCAGTAGCTTTTTAGAAAAGCTTTCTTTCCTTTCTCCTCCTGTGTTTGTTCTCCATCATTCCTCATTCTCTGCACCACTGACCATAAGATTGTGCAAATTGAATTCTGAAAATAAATGTACTTAATGGAAACATGGCTGGTTTAAAAAAAGTATTTATGCCAGGACGAGGAGGTTTTTCTGCTGTATCAAAATTTGTGTCGTTCACAAAACTGCCATGGAAACACTTTCTCACATCATATGAGTCAAGTGATCAACAAGCGGATGTTGCTGCTGGTGGAAAAGATGAATAAGATGACAGGAAGTCATAAGGGGATGATGGTGTGGTAAGTATGTAACAAATTTATTCACGTGTGATTTTAACTGTGTTTATTTACAAAAAAATAAACAAAAATTACAAAATTGTGTTTTTCTACATTGGCAGAATATCAACACATTTTTGGAAACATTTGTCATGGAAACACAGCTACTGCTATCTAATATCAGAAAAAACACATTAATGATCTTTTTCACTTGCCTTTATGCGTTTCAAACAGATACAAATAAAAAATAGTTAAAACAACTGGCTTGGTATAGATCACAGAGACAAACCAGTTTTTGCCCGTTCATCCATTTCTTAGACGTTGTGACCCTGAGTACACATTCCTTACATCAGTACACGTCAATAGTAGAGCTATTAAACACAACGTACCAAAGTCAGGATTTCTGGTGTGTTTTTTGGGGGCCTTTTGTTCCCCCCGCGGTCCTGCCCCTGTACTTGGCAGCTCATCTGAGGCCCTGGGGGCAGATCTCTTGACGCAGCGCTGACAGATCCGGCTGTTCTGAACCCCAGCGATGATGAGAGAACAGAGCAGATGAAAAATTGAAAGGGAGATGAAGAGAGAGCGAGAAAAAAGAGAAGTGAAAGTGGAGGATGGAGAGAAGGAGAACACGGGAGCGGTGCCTCAGATCTTCAGGGGCCAAAAGCCTCACATAACGTAGCCCCTCTCTGTCCTACCAGCCTCTTCCCCGCTTCACCTGTCACCTGTCACTCAGGACTAGACCATTTCATTTTAATAAGGCTAATCCCTCCTAAAGGTAAGCTGCTCATCACCTCTCACCCTCCCGCCCCTCCAGAAAAGAGCATTCTCCCTTTGAGCTGGAGGACAGGAGGGTTTGCTCTGCTTGATAGGAAAGAAGAATGTGAAAGGTGAGACAGAAAAGAGGCCTTGACAGCAGCTGTGCTCAGATTTAATGAGACGATTCGGGCCTGATTGGTTTGATAAACTTGCAGGTGGCGCACTGTTAGTCAAAGTTCTTCCTCTGGGCTCCAACACTGAGCTGATATGAAGCGCAGAGAGGATGGAAAGTTATGTGGAGGAAGTGTAGTGATCCAGCTGGTATTTTAGTTTATAATATTGCCTTCCTGCTGTCAGCCGAGCACTCTCCGGCTGTCAACGGAGAAACTTTGGCTGTGTAGCCACCAGCGACTCCATCCTCTGTTGGAGCAGGTAGATATTTTGAAAAGAAAAATGTAAATAGTTGAAAAAGTAGAATGTGAATGACTCACAGTTTACTGAAACATTTATATCTTTTAGAAACAAAAACTTGGACCAATAGCATTCTTTCAAAAACACCTTAATGCATGCAGGACTCCACATTAAACAAGATATTTTGTAAAAGAGAGAGCTTCTCATCCCCAATTTTGGTCATAAAGCTTTAAAAGTAGTTTTGAAAGTAGAGAAATTTGTGTGTTGTTGTGATCCAAATATCTGAATAACATTCGAAACACTGCAAAGTCTTGCACATGTTCACTCTAGCTGTGAGAACTGCAAAGCAAATATGCAATCCTCTAGACTTAGAGAACATTTGCTCAGGATAAATATGACATTGTATAAGGAAACGGTTTTGAAATAATTGATTATAATCTTATGTTTACAGCACAAAAACAAGCGAGTTTTAAAGGGGTATGCAGACTTCTGAACAATAACATCTCTTTCTGCTTCTGTTTGTTCAGATTGTTTCCTCTATTTCCTAATAAACACCTTCGGCACTGTTCCTCTGCTCTAGTTTTGTGAGACCTCATTCTTCTTGTTTATATTATTATTTTTCCCACAATAGTCTCAGTATGCTGTAACTTTCAGAAAACCTTGACAGGAAGAACCATTTATCAAGACGAGCTGAAGAGCACATCCTGAGATGTATAAAAACAATGAACTGTTAGAAGTGTTACACGTTACCAAAGAGAGGACTACAAACCGCTGAGAGCTTTAAGTTAGAAAATGAAAAGGAGTCAAGGGGGTAACATTCCACAGCAGTGTCCTGGCCACCTGATCTCTTATGAGGTCAAGGGTCAAATAATGAAACCTACCACCTACCTCACAGAGGCTCCAAGCAGAAACAGATTGATGAAATAAGTGCAGATCGTCGTAGAAACTAAGGTTTGCTCAGAGGAATGTCTCTTAGTACGTGTTTAAAAAGAGAAACACAACCAAGCAGTTCTGTAAGCAATTTGTAAGATTTTTTTTTGTTTTTGTAATGCATCAACTCCCTTGTTCTGCCCTCTCTGTGCAGCTGGGCTCCAGCTTGGATGAGCATGTGTTGAATGTGCAGGGTGCCCCCATGTTGGGAGATTTGTGGAAGTGGACCTTCACAAAAAAAAAAGAAGAAAAAACAAAAAACACCCCACCTAACACCCGTCCCAGCAGGAGCTGCGAAGAGGCCAGCCAGAACAATACCAAGGCAATGGCTTAATTCGCCAAGCCAGATTTACAGCTCCTCCTACACAGCACCTGCTTGCTTTGTTTCCCAGGATCTCGCTTGGAAACTTTGAAGAACCGGCGATAAAAATTGAACCCCAGGCAATCCATTCTGTATTGACAGCCTCTTTAGTTACAGATCTCTTTTTTATGTTTGGGAAATCTCTTGGACTTAGATGAAGAAGTCAACTGAGGAAAATCTGACATCATGAATGCCCCCCTCATGCCAGTGGGAGAGGTTGGGTTTATTGCTGCGCTGCCGACCATTGTCCCGAACATTAAAGAGGCGGCCAGCCCAACAGCTTCTCTACACATCTCTGCACAAAAGTTTTTGCTGAAAAAAAAAAAAAAAGAAAAAAAGGCGCAGGCTGTTACATAAGATTCAGCGCATCAGCCATAAAAACAATAACTAGCCAGTGAGTGTTGGATTGCAGGCGGCGCATTCCTGAGCTGGCCCACAGAGAAAGTGAGAGGCACTCTGAAACAGATTTCCCAGAGAGGTTTGAAGAGGAGACGACTGGAGAGCAGAGGCCCCTTTTGTCACCGGGACCTTGTTGGAGCCTCAGGGGCCATATGTACGCCTGTCTCTGTGGGCCCTCACATCAGCCCATTCTTCACCCTCCTCCTCTCTCTGTGCGCTCCGTGACAGGGCCGTCCACGTGAATGAGTCATGGGCAGAGTGAAGCAGAGCCCGGCTCGCCGCAGAGCCGTTTCCCTCTCTGCCACCCCCGCTTCCCCAGAGGCTGAGCTTGTGTCGTTCATTGATTCTGTCAACCCTTGTGCTCTCCTTCTCCTTTTGAGCGATCGTGAACACAGTGTGAAAAGTTGCCAATAGACAGCTGCCCCTACATTATGCAGTATTTGACCTGCAACCCCTTCCCCCCCCCACGCCTTCTCTGCCGTTTCTTTTCTGACAGGACACCGGCTGTCATTCTGGGACTAAAGGTTTGCTGCTCAGCTTTTTTTTTTATCAACATGAAGAAGAAGAAAAACTGATGGAAACAGAAAACAGAAGAAAGACTCACTGCAATGTCCAACATCACAGAAGTAGATCAAATTTAATTTACCTTTGAGAAAAGTCATAGCTGCTGTGATAAACCACCTGCCTCTCTGGTCGTTTAGAGATGATGTACTTGATACAAATAGGCTCAAAATTATTCATACCTCTGGGAGTATGGACTTAAAGCCGACATATATTTTGACAAACATCCCCCAGAAGAGAGGCACCTCTAGAGAAACAATGTCTGTTTTTATGTATTGGTAAACATACAGAGTATTAGGGCCATACTAAGAAAATTTAAAAAATAAAAGAATACAATTACAAGAATAAACTCATATCAGAATGAAGTCATAATAAAGTGGTAATAATGCAAGAATAAAGGCATAATATTACTAGAATAAAGGAATAATATTATGACTTTATTAATATCTCAAATCACTTTACAAGCACCAAATCACACAAAAATATAAGCTCCAGTCACATAGACACATTTAAATTGAGCTACATTCCAATTAAATCCTGGTAACAATGAAATGCAGACAAATAAAATTCATAAAGTGAGTTATATGCCGAGTTTAACAGGGAGTCTACCAAGAGAAGATCAAACTGGAAAGATTTCACCTCTCCTTTTAATTTTAGAAATCACACCGTAGCATTTTGGATAAGCTGGAGGGTTTTTACTGAATAATCTGTGCTTCCTAGTAAGAAAGAATTAGTGGAGACTGGACTAGAAGTAACAAATGCATGGAATAACTTTTCTGCCTCACTCTGGGACAAGATGTTTCCAACTTTCACAATGTTCTGGAGGTGAAGAAATGGCTTAGAAAGTTTATTTTAAAAAATGTAATTTATTGAAGAACAGAAAAACTACACTTTAATGTTTAATTAGAAAAAGCCTTAACATCGTAAAAGAATCTCCAATTAGAAATAGTTCTTGAAGTTAGCTTCCAAACCAATAAACAGAGGTTTTTCAAAGCTCATATGAAACAAAGGCAACACAATTTGTAATAAATGTGAGACGTAAAGCTAAAAAGAGGAAACAGTTTTAGATCTAAATAAAATATATACGACAAAAAAAAGAAAGTTATGGTTATTTAGAAAAACTATTTTGAAAACAATAAAAATACAAACCTTTACATTTAGGAGAAAAATACAATCTCTATACAAACAATATCAAAAGTGGACAAAAATCAGGCAATAAACAAATTCATGAATGTGGGTGATGTTCGGTATTCTTCCTCTCCGACTCTGCAGCAATGGGCCACAGGCCCATGTCCTGTAAGAGTTCTTCCTCTAGTATCAGGTCATCGCTGTACTCTGTTAAGTCCAGACGCTGGATTTCCTTTGGGGGCGTTTCTGGTTTTTCAGGTTCCTGGAGACACAGAAAGATTTGAAATGCAGTCAATCAAGTTTGTTTGTATAGCACATTTCAACAACTACAATCAATGCACGGCTTCAGTTATTACAGCTGGAAACCAGCGATCAGGCCCGAAATCTGGGTGTAGTGATGGACTCTGACCTGAACCTTCAGAGACACATGAAGACAGTTACAAAGTCGGCCTTCTGTCTGTCACCTGAAGAATAAAATTTGATTGATTGAGTCACATCAATCAATCACATCAATTAATGTAGTTTGTCTGACTACAGTCAGACAAACTACATTAATTGACTACAGTTTGTCTGACTACAGTCAGACAAACTGACTGTAGCCCTGTAGAGGGCTACAGTCAGACAAACTACAGTTTGATTAAAGCGTACCATGTGTGGCTGGGTGTGAATGCACCCTTAGATTTCAATTTACTGCAGAACTTTTATGCTAATTATCAAATAAAACTCAGGTCCTCAGGTCCTAGTAGAAAACCAAACTATTCTACTAGTACGTTTCCTTCCTTTCTCTCCAAATGTGCACATAATGATAAAAAAAACATCTCAAGAAGCAGTAAAGATGGAGGTTAACTCGCAGCTCTCCTTTGGTAGAGAAACAAACATTACCTGCCTTCATACTGCAGCTGCTATGCAGTCTGATATGGAAACACTTAGCCCTGAATAGATTTAGCCTATATAGTTAGCAAAGAGCTTGCCAGACACTGCCTGGTAACACGTGCACTATCAGTATCAAATAACATGAAGGATGAATTAAACATGAGGCCAGGAAAAAAGAAGAGACACTGATAAACACACAAAGAGGGCCAGGCTGCTGCCTCTTTTTTCAGAGTATACATAAACTGACAAATGTTTTATTTGACTTAAACACATTTAAATGTTGCTCAAAAATGTTGCTGGACAGCAGCTTGGAATCTTAAATAACTGTACAATATGCTTTTTAAAACAGCTAAAAATGTAAACTTGTTAGCAGCTTCACTTGAACAGATTTATTTCTGCATCTTCTCTATCTTTACCTTCTTTGTTCAGATTTCTAACATGTCTTACCATTTTCTGTTTCAACTTCATTTCTTCCTCCTCCTTTTTCTGTTTAGTCCAGTTTTCTTCTCTCTTTAAATAGTCCTTCAAACTCTCTGCTTCAAGATCGAAGTATCTCTTCATGCTTAAATCCTGCAAATAACCCAGAAAATCAGATTTACAAATTCATACCCCTTCAGTTGTTTTACATTCTTTTAAGTTGTGACCACTAGCATTTTATTGGGATTTTATGTGACAGATCAACACAAATTACAGCAAAAGTTTGAAGTTAAAGGAAAAGGACAAAATAATCCTGCCACACCCATGTTTCATGCTACTGTTTTGTGTTACTTTTCTTCTGCAGGTTTTTTTTTAAAATGTAGGTCAAAGCGTTTAAGTCAGGTCTCCAACCACAGGTTCTAATTTGACATTTCTGCTGTGTTCCCAGTATAACTTGTGTCAAACATGCCTGTTAGGAAGTCTAGAACTGTGTCATCCTCTTGTGGAAAATTGAACTGTACTGTCAACTGTTCAAAGCGTAGAATATTGCTTTATACCCTAAACCTACGTTAAACTTCTTCAGAACTTTATTCCTTGATCCTTTATGATGCTGTTTGGTCACTAATGTTCTCTGACACAACTCAGATCTTCACAGAGCAGCTGTATTTATGAGATTAAACCACACACAGGTGGACTCTGTTTCCTAATTAGAGGACTGGTCAAGCAATTGGTTGCACTTGAGTTATTGATATCAGAGTAGAAGGGGCTGAGTACATGAGAATTTTGTTCTTCACACAATTTCTTTCAACTTCAAAATCATGTGGTTTTGTGTTTGTAAAAGCAAACTGTAAAAAAAAAAAAGGCAAATGGAAATGAATATTTTTGCGTGGTTATGGCTAGGGTTAGGTAAACAATAAACGGCTGAAATTAGAACATGTCATGGGCAAGGTTACTCAGACTTATTATTATAAATTGTTTGAACAAACAAACCAGTCTAGCTGTGCCGCCTCACCTCGTGCCCGAAAGGAAGATAGAGGGCCTTTGGTATTTCAAAAATACGAAGAACCCCAAGATCATCTGCAACAGCCAGGAAGTGCTGCTCGGCTGGAGGCAGAGAACAATTTAAATAAGCAGCCTGCTGACTTACTGAACACAGAGCTAAACTTTGAGAAAATAAACAAAACATGTACAGGTGTAATGTGACAACAGCCGTAGAGACAGTACTGAAAAATACCCTTAAATAGTCAATTTGCAAAAGCACATGTCAACACTGGTAGGAGCCTAGGAGTGACATTCCCAGTTGTTGTGAATGGTAGCTGGGAAACACAAATTAGCTTTCATTTGATAATTTCTGTCAATTATGCCATCAATCATGCCATGGTATGTGCTGCTCAGAGCCTTCCCCTTTCTCTTTGCTACACTACAGCTTCTCCCTGTCAGCAGAGCATGTTTTGAAAGCTCAAGCGTGCACACGAGCATGATTGACAGCTCTAAGGCCCTCCTCCTGGTTCTGATTGGTTGTTTTTGAATGGGAGCGGTGCATTTCTTCAGACAGCAACAGCAGCACAGGGAGGAGGTGGACGAGCTTAAATGTTTCTGAGATTATCTGTCTCATATTATACTGTCATGTGTCAGTTTTAACAAATTCGTAAAAAAAAAAAAAAAAACATTTTTTGTTTTTAAATAAAAGTCACATATACAAGTTTTAATATAACCGGTAACGCATGTGTTTTCTCACCCGTGAAACTGCAGGCTTTCATGCAGGTAATCTTGCTTTTGCTGATGTGAGCGTGGAGTTGTAGTGGTTCACTGCTGTTTTTTAGCATGTCCCATATCTCAACACTGCCATCTGTTTTTCCAATGAAGAAAACAGCCGGCCGGGACAGCGACCAGCATCCCACCGTGCACTCCTGCTCAAAGTATTGCGACGCAACCAGCGGGCCGTCCTGCATGCAGCAGTTTCAGGGAAAACAGTGAATGCAACTTTATACAATTTAACAGCAAATCTGAAGTTATTTTTTGGTAACTTGGTAAGTTATCTATATGCTCCAAAAGCCCTAGTTGTTTAGAGTAAAATGGGGAAACAAATTATTGTAGATGTGCAACATACAGTAAGTTAAATGAAGTTAAGGAGCAAATATTTTACTTGTTACACAAAACATTTTACAGAATGTTACTTTTCAAGGTGCTGCCACTGAGACATTAACTTTCCCCACAGAGTCAATCTGTAAAGCGAATGTGATCTGAAATCGTTTGTTCTCATCGGAAAAGCCCTTTATAAATATCAAAGCCAAATATTGTTTTATAGCTTTAACCTTCTGTCTGCTTTGTTCCTTAACCTTTGTCATGTTGATGTTGTTTACTATTATTCTGGAGGTATTTTGAGAATTAATTACACAAGTCGGTTCTAGCTGATAACTGGGTGACTTCTGAAGACAGTCAGATTCACTGGGTTTTATTAAGGGGTATCAGAGCAGAAATGGTATATGCTCACCACATTCTTCAGATTATAATCTCAATAAAACACACAAAGAGCTGTTCTAACGCAAATTTGTAAAATTTCAAGAGGTGTGAATCCTTCTGCAAGGACCTGTATATTAAATAAGAAATTTCCTCTATTATTAAATAATATAACCAGTATAACCTTGTACGGTGTTTGTATGTACTCTGGGCACATAATTTATGCCCAGTGGACTTGTTTTTAGTGTAGTTACCATGACTCCCTCTTTCCAAATGGCAAAGTTCCAGCCTCCTGTTGTCAAAAGAATGTCTTTGAAGAATGGAGATCGCTGCACTGTGTTCACCAGCCAGTGATGGGTGTTGAAACACGCGAAGGGTTTGGAACCTGCGAGCGCAGCAGCACATTGTGAGAAAAGGCATGTTTTACTTGGCACAGTACTGATTGTGATTTCCAGTCTCAGTCACAATAAATGATGAAGACAAGTCAAACTTCTGCAATCCTATACATTTCCTGAGGGTAATTAAATTTAGCATGGCTGCCAAAGGACAAGAGTGATTTAAAAGGGATATGGGTGTCAGATTTATTGTTATGAAACTGAAAAACAAAAGTTTAACAGTTCAGTTTATTGTGATGAATGTCTTGGTTTGATAAGAAAGTGCTTACAGATGGTAAAGCATATATTGTTTAGGCCCCTTTTTAAACAACCCAGAAATATGGCAGCACTCACTGTGCGGGCGCCCAGAGTCGTCGCTTTCCATTTTCCAGTCTGAGTAAATGATCTCTCCGTTCTGGCAGTGAAAACAAGACACGTTATATGAGATTCATCACAGAATATACCAAACCTACACATACCTGACGGTTTCTTAACCATTCAAAGCCAATGTTCTGTCATCATCTTAGCTTTAAAAAAAAACTTCAGCAATTTTACAAAACATTGTAACGTAAACTGAAGGGAGGGAAAAACTGAAAAAGTGCTGTTGTGGGTTTGGTTTTTGAAGTTTCAACAATTTGAAGTTTTACCTCTGTCCCAACAAAAAACTTGGTGTTGATGCTGTCCATCTCCCTCAGTTTTTCAGATGCAGGTAGCATGAGTTGGCTGTAGTCCGGAAAGACCTCTGTCCCCTTAATGTCTTTATCTGAGAGGGAAAACAAGGTTAAAGTGTGAATCATAATTCTACCAACTAAGAGAGGTGGCTTAGCTCCTTAGAAAAACACAGAAAGAAGAGGAATAGTTTGAGACAGTGGTTTATGCTTAATGTAAGGAAATGAAGATCGGATTGATACTGTCTGCATAGTACTCTCACCATTAACGATATGATGGTGTATCTGGTGAATGGGGTGGGAAAAGGATGAGAGGAATGAGAAAAAAAAGCTGGGAAAGACGGTTCTATAAAGAAAAGGGACTAGCTAGGGGAGGATACAACCAAATGTTTTTATTAGTTATCCAAAGCAGCCTTCCCCCCATTCACTTTAATCGTCATGAGAGTAAAACTAACTAACTCTGAGCAACTTTTTTAAACCACTATCTGGCCAAAGCAGTGAGATTTTTGATGACCTTACTGATCAGAAATGTCAGAGTCGCTCAAGCCAGAAAATCAGCTTGTTTTGCCCAGCAGCTGATTTCTCAGCACATTTCTGTTCCACATTTTCTGAATTCATTTCTCCATTTAAAAATGTGTGAAGAAAACAGTAAGACTATGTTGCACCGCGGCAGAAATCGATCCAGTGCTTCCCAAGGACATGGCTGTCTACCTGTTACACGGTGACCGTGAAGCCTGCTGACCATAATGTGGTGTGGAAAATCATGCAAAGTAAATCTGTTCTGCTAGAAATGACTGTTAACTTTCAGAAATAGCAGTGGTAGCAAAATGATGAACACTGGAGTCAATACAAAGACTTACCTTGTCAGTAAGATAGGAAAACTCCTTAAGCTGAACCAAAATATTCATCATATTCATTAAAATCTTAATTGGTGAGTGCTTGGGTTAAGTGAAAAAAAGATGACCTTGCAGCAAATTAATTCCCCAACCAGCCAGCTACCAAAGTGGTGTTTATGGAGCCGGACCTCCAGACAGACAAAGACACGTTTCTTCTTGACCAGCATGGACACATTCAACCTTCCTCAAGCTTTCTGAGCAAGATATTACAAAGAGCTGACAGTGAGCAAGGCCAGTGATTTGCTACCAGAAATTTATTTTGGAAGAAAAACTCTTATGAGAGTGGTGGGAAACTCAAGGAAGACAGCCTCATTGTGGTCGTCAATGAAATCAACTTTTCAAACCAAAACTAAACAAAATCTTTGTTAATATTATGTATTTTCCAGGCACATAATGTCGTTTTATAGCACAATCAAGTAACTATGTTTGGCTGTTATAAAATTCTATATATATCAAATATGACCTAAAAGAAGTTTCACTTCATAATTTAAAGCTCTGTCTTTTTAAAAACTCCTGCTTTTTCTGAAGCTCCGCCTTCAGGAAGTCATCACAACATGGCTCCTCTATTAATCCATAGGAGATTAAAAGACTTCTCAAAAATGCATGAAAGAATCAAAGCAACACCCCAGTTATGTTTTTGATTAGGAAAAAACATTATAACATGTCATAACGGTCAAAAAAGTAAATTTTACACAATACTGCCCCTTCAAATTGTTAAATTTGTAACATTTCTAAAATTCTATTGCAAAAGTATTAAAATTAATACAAAAATGAAATATCCCTCCTTTTGCCCTACCTGTAGGAGCGATGACATTTTCAAAGCTGAACTTCATAGGAACATATTCTCCTTTGGTATCAATCTTTGACAGTGAAACCTGACAAATGACACAAGATAAAAGATCCTTGATTCTGCATCGTTCTATTACCTTTCATATTTCAAATCCTTATGGGATAGAATGCATATTAAAATTAGCTTAGGTTCTAGACATATCACAAATTCCCAAAGCTAAATTACTCTGAACAATGGTTTCCATGTCCTGTCAAGGTGTTTGAAAGTTTCAGGGACGCTGCAGGTCGTCATCGGGGTCTTATGGTCGACAGCCGGCGTGCTCTCTGTAGGCGTGTTCGTAAACACAGCTGGAAGTCTCACGTCCCAAAAACGAAGAGTGCTATGGAGCAAAATGAGGCAAAAAGGTCAAACCTGGAAACGGACAAAAACTCAAAATCAGAAGTTCAAATTCAGACACACACACTGAGTTGGTGCCTTGAGTTCCTTTAAATCTGTCTTTCAAACATTTCGTGTTTTTCAAAATATGGCCTACCAGTCAGGGGAGCAGGTGATGATCTGAACCGACACTTTCTGCTTGTTCTCCACTGGTAAGCCCAAAATAGTAACCTTATCAGAGAAAAAGTTACAAAATAAATGCATAAAAGGGAAGCTTTGTACAAATTAAAAACAATGCAAATCGTAATTATCACAATTTCATTTGAAAAACCAGGCATCCTTTTCCTCCTGTTATGCTTTCTGTTTGTCTAAAATGCTAATTCCTCAAAAAGGAAACAGATGTGTTTGACAATGTGAACAAGTTCAAGTCTATAGCAATGTAGGATGTTAATCTTTCCCCTGAGGGAACTTTGATGCTTACAATTTTTTCACCCATCTTGATGAATACAAGACGTGAAAATGATTTATGACGCTCCTCTATAGATGTGAGGAGTAGGAGCCGACAGGAGAAAAGAAACTGCAAGGCGCATGCCAATGCTTCAATAAATGTTCTTTTTTGTCATCTTGGTAGTAAGCAGTATATCCCACAGTTGACTTTGAGGATCATTCTATATCTTCTCCATAAATCTCTACATGTACTTACATAAACAATGACTCTTTAGAGTTTACATTTGGTCTACTATTTACATGAAGTATAATGCTATATTCACACAAAAAGAACACCCTTTTCTTCAAGCGGACATTTTCTAATATTAACCTTACTCTATTAGGTTAGAACATGTCTCTCTTTCAAAGTTGCCTCTAATTCTTCAATTTTTAACTTTTCTGTACCTCGAATGTTGGCGGCAGCCACTGCACATCAGTAACTGGGGCTTTGTGGCTGCTCTCTAAGGCTGACACCGCACAGAATCGCACAATGGGAATATTCTCTTTGCTGTCGTTAAGGTCCTGAAGAGACAGCAAACACAAAAAGGCACTGTACAGTAAAATCTGACAAATCAATCAAATCAGGCAGATTGTATTCAGCACAAAAGCCATTCAAAATGCTTCAGCGGGATATCAAAAAAGTCCAGAGTTCACATTTAATCCAAATACTTGAAGAATGTGTTTTTTTTGTTTTGTTTTTTTTGCCATGATACCAATATGTATGCAAGGGAAAACAAACATTCAGCATGCAGCCTTCATAATAAAGAAACAAGTTAAACCAAAGTGATTTATCTGGTAGGCCGATAACAGATATATGTACATGTTCCATAGATCCAAACATCCAAATTAGGTCCTTTTAACCAGCACAACTGCTATTGTTTACTCTGCAAACAGCAGAGAGAAAAGTGATCTGATTTACCAGAACGTTATCTTGCAAAAGGGGACAAACCACGGTTGTAGATGGGGACTTGTGTAACAGCTGGCACTGTGCTGTGTTGACTCAAGAGAATTAAGAGCAAACAAAGATAGAGAAAGGGAGAAGGATGACAGGGGAGGAGTAAAGGAGAATAAAGCAGAGAGGAGAGGGATGGAGACAGCTGTTCCACTGTAGAGACCATAAAAACACACAAAGTAAATGTGGGGACCTAGTATATGTGCTTGTTTAAATACAGCAGCATCAGTGCAGTTGGCCAAAACTGACTTCAGTCGGACATAATTCCCACTGCGGTGAAAAGTCTGCTCCAAGCCATACAATTGAAAAGCACTGCTATCAATTACTAAGAAAATGTATGTAAATGGATTAAACTTGGGAAAAGAGTACCGTATTTTCCGCACTATAAGGCGCACCTAAAAACCATAAATTTCCTCAAAAGCCGACAGTGCGCTTTATAATCCGGTGCACCTTATATATGGACCAATATTGAGCCACAACAGGTCTAGCAACTATGGTAAGCAGCCGCCGACTTCATTTTCGCCCATAGAAGAAGAAGCGCGCGGTGCATGCTGGGATAGTTGTCAGAACGCTGGTTTGTTAATAAAGTTTGACTGAACTATCTACCTACCAACCGTCTATAATCAGGTCGTCTGCAGGTCATTTAGCACCACGTTCTCCACAACCATCGTCCGGCCACGCCCCGGCCCAGGAAGGCTCTCCTCGCCAACCGGAGTCTGACTGTTTTGTTGACATTCCGTTTAGTGCAGCTCCATCTAGTGGGTGCAAAACGTAACTCCAGCCTCTACTGAAGCGTCTATTCTATGCGCCTTATAATGCGGTGCGCCTTATATATGAAAAAAGTTTTAAAATAGGCTACTCATTGAAGGTGCGCCTTATAATCCGCTGCGCCTTATAGTGTGGAAAATACGGTAAACAAAAAAAGTTTAACATTTTATCTCAATATTCTGGCATTTGGCAAAGTCCAAATATATTTGTACTTACAAACTTGTCTGAACTTGTTGAATCTTTTCTACTGCTGGGTTGTGATGCCTGTATGTAGGTGACATGAGCAGAGAGGTCCCACAACAAAATCTGAAACATGAGTTAACGAACAAAATCAGTCAGTAGAACAAAATCACCTGAGAACATAACGCTTAAATGAGAATAGTATTTTATAGTGGGCTGAAGAGCAGACCTGTGTGAAGAAAGAAATCATTTTGAACTTTTCACAGTATAAGAGACAGGAAAGGTGGTACAGGAAAAAAAAAATCACCTGGCCATTTATACAGCCGCCAACAATAATATTTGGATTGGAGGGGGAGAACTGGAATGCAAGAATGTCGTCTGGGCATTCAAGGAGAAACTGCAAAAAAAATAATAATAAGAGAAAATCAAAAAGAAAACGTACTACATACAAAACATAAACACTGCATTTCACAGAAACCTGTGTGCAGTACATTGCAAAAGTATTCATATACTTTGAATTTCTCCACATTCTGTCACGTTACAGTTTAAAGGGTCGATGTACTTCACTATATGCCCATGGTAACGATGTAGGATCTGCAGAGATCCAAAGCTCAGATGAGAGAATGTGTTAACAGGAATCCACAAGTTTGGCCTTTATGGAAGAGGAGCCTGAAAACAGCCAGACAACAGAAGTCCTGTACGCAATTTGCCACATTCCAAGTAGGGAACATAGCAAACCTTCTGGTTGTCTGGTCGGATGAGATAAAAATGATATTTTTTGGAATACTTTTCTTCATCAGGGACGGGGAATGTGGTCAGAGTCTACGGAAGGATTGATGAAGCTAAACATGGGGCAATCCTGGAAGAAAACCTGCAGGGAGGCTGCAAAAGTCTTAAGACTTACCGCCAGAGCTACAACTGAACAGCTTAAATAATAGCAAATTCATGTATTAGAATGACCTAGTCAAAGTCCAGACCAGAATCTAATTGGGAACCTGTGGAAAGGTTCAGTGTTTTTGAGCTTGAGCAGTTTTCTAGAGAAGAATATGCAACGGTTCTAAGCTCCTGATGTGAAAAGCTGCAGGAATGATAAAGGAGTATGAATAGTTTTGCAAGGCAGATTCAGATATCATATGAGTTTTTATTCACTGCAGTCTTCCGTCTTGTCTGTTAATGCAAGGTTCGTCTTACAATACAACAATCCATTAGCATCAACTGCATTTCATCAGATATGCGTATAAAGTTCCACACACCCCACTTTAGCCAATGAAGCAATGGGCCACTCAAGCTCCAGAGATTTACATCACGTAGAAGTGGTATTACATTACTTTAGCTGCTCAGGTTTATTGACTGGGAGCCTATGGTCAAATCAATAGGCGCTCTCAAATTTTCCTACAGCAAACAATAGTCCTGAATGACAAAGTGCAATTCATTCCAGCTGTTTCTCCTAAAAGCTTTTCTCCAAGAGATGTGCAAGAGATTTCTTTACTTGTGTGTTGGAGGGTTTTCTTGTTTGCTTGCCACACCTGGGGATTAGAGGGGTCAGAGAAGCTGTAGAAGACAATGAGAGGAGGACTGGAGGCCGTCTCTGCAGGCTCCTTGTGTCTTTTTGTCAGGGCTACAGCAACTACACCTGCAGCACACACACACACACACCCCCACACACACACACACACACGCAAAACACACAAATAATTATGTTTTCAACTATCAACATAATTAAAGCTCATCTCTGCATTACTTTTCTGTTCTTGATGGGAAAACAAAAGCTTAACTGCTTTAAAATGTTGCACTTTACCGTGTATTGTAGGGTGCCAGTTGAGGCAACTAATTGTTTTGTTTTTAGCGAACTTCTGATCTGTGAAGACCTGATGGAGCACCAGAGTATCAGACACCTGCCCTGACCAGTCACAGATTTCAATCCCGGTCGCCAGGGACCTCCAGTCATCCAGAAACACGTTTATGATCTCCTCCTGCTGCAGGGCAAACAACATCCTAAAACCAAAAAGCAATACAGCTGACTGTGATAACAGGCAATCTTATGCAAAGTCACTGTAATGGGTGGGAGTTTTATATTTTCTCAAATGTAGTTGAGTCTGATTTGATGGGAAAACAACCATTCAAAACCATTTATTTTTACCTGGGAATCTGTCTCCCACAAAAATCTCTCAGGTTCTGTTCTTTAAGAATCATTTCTTTTTCCTTGGTGCTGAACTCTCTTGGTTCATACTGAGTGAACGTGTCCTTTGGAACCATCCTGCAAGGAAAACAATGTTAATAAGAAATATGTACGTCGTTGTTCCAGGTAGACTTCTTTCAATCTGTTTCCGACTGAAAGGCCAGAACCTTTCAGTCTTTTTGTGCTGATTAAATGTTTTAAGCACAAAGGTTCATCATTATACCTCATTGTCTGGCAACCGTTGGTCTGCAGCATGGGAACAGCCTGCACTCCGCAATCACTCATCAGTTTCTTGATCTTGAATTTACTGTCTTCATAAGAAGTACACTCCAAGTGGCTGTCCTTTGACTCTGCACAATCGCGGTCTGAAAAACAGACCTCTGACTGACCTTCCCGGTCCAGTCTTAATTTGAGCCTCAGCTGATGAGGACAAGAAGACAAAATCAATACAACAGCAGCAGCAAATGTATTTTCATTTAACTTTACTCTGCATTACTATTGTGGTATGCCTTTTCTCTCGTTTCCTTGATAGGTTCTTCTATTTCCTTCTCACTACCAAGAGGAATCCAAAGTTTTGGTCTTTTTTCGGACTCAAGCAGCTCTTCAGCCTCTGGGGTCTGGATGACAGAGACAGAAGGAGATTGGGTTATGGAGTTGAAAATAAATGTTTTATAAAATTCATTAACTCTTTCTGTAGTAGTAGATTTTGAGTGACAAATTTTTGGAAATTAAAGTTGAAGCTCTTAAGAGTTTATGCTAAATTACCCAATACACCAAAAATATATCACATATGGAACATCTTTGTTATGGCAGAAATTGATGTTTTTGATCATATTTTGTGAAACTAATAACATAATAAAACTGAAGTCTCACTTTCAGGATTCGTTCCTTGCTTTCTGGTGTTAGAACCAAGTAGAAGCACTGGCCGTAAGTGAAGTTTGAATCAAAAACCAACAGCATCTCTTCCTCTGGGTAATCCTGTTGAGAACAATGGCACCAAGTTCTCACTAAGACATCTATGAAATGCAGGAGTTAGATCCTAAACATGAAAAAGAAAATCACGCCTGATGAGACTGCGTCAGCCGCTAACGAGTCGCTAACGTCTAATAAGAGTAAAGTGGTAAAAGGGATTCTGGCAAAATATGAGTGAGCTTCAACCAGCTCCTTTTGCTCACACAGTCCTTGTTTTATGACCCATGTGTTGTTGTAGCAGCTCAGTTTGTTTGTTTATTTGTCTGGATGAATCTTACAAGCACAGCGTGTTTCACTGGGCTGAAATCAGAAATGGCAGCTCTCGTCTTCATGTCGTCGATGATGTCGTCTTTCTTGAGCAGTTTGAAGGGGTGCTTGTCTGTGACGTCTTCATCAATACGGCAGTTGAAGAGCTCCTGGGTGGCAGACGTCAGGACCAGGGGGAAGATGTCGTCAGGGTGATCTTGAGGAGAAAATTCAGAATCATTTTTTTTAAATCTTATTCTCTTGAAAGTTTGTTGTTCACAAACCTGTAATACAATTGAAAACAATCCAAGTGAGAGGAATGAAACTAAATTGATGTAGAAAAGGAACATGAAGATTTTCTTTCATCTTAAAGCATATAAACTGAGCATATCTAAAATTCAGATACATTTTCACAAAGATAAATATTTCAAAAATGTAATTTCTGTGCCTTCTTTTTTGTATTATAAACTTGATATTGAAAATCCACACTCATATGATCTCTTAGTTCAGATTACATGAAATGAGTTAAACTGGGATTACAATGTCTAGAGGGCTGGAGTTTCCTTTTTCTTTTTCTTGAGCATTCACCAAAAGTTGTGTTCTGTGGAAACAATGTGCAGAATGGTGTGAGCCTGGCCTGCACACTTTTCCAAAATGAGCCATTGTCTGGAGAAAGTGAGAACAATTTCCTGATCTGCTAATTCCAAAAAAGTGCAAAACAAAACCCAAAAGAACGAGCTCTGTTTCTTTGTTTTCTTCACGTGCTGAGGAAGTCTTTTCTCCACAGAAATCAGAATCACCTACATACAAGTCAGTCCTAAAAAAACACAAGGGCTCTGTTTTCATCTATTAAGTGATGATGATGGCCAACTTTGAAATTTCATACAAAGAAGATTCAGCTCCAAAAACCTGGACACCTGCAATGAAGAACAAACTTTGGCAGAGTGACAAAGTGAAAGATTGCTCACCTACTGACTTTTTCAGAGCATGTCAGTTCATCTGTTACCAAGTCAGAGCAACATGACAGATAAGTCAGAAATTATAAATAAGACGTGACTGAAAATGGCAATATAATATGGAGATTAAAAGCAAATAAAGCTTTTGTTCTCATGGTGTAAAATACACAAAGGAACATTTTTCCCTCATGTTTCATATCAGAAACACATTTCATGCACCTGCCCCTCCTCGAACATCACAGGCTAGCAACAACCATTGTTTAGCTGACTTATTGCTGCTAAACACTGTCACCTGTAATAATACTGTTACTTTATATTAGCATACTGCTGAATGACTACTGGAAGACTTTTTTAGCTGTTGTGATTGTTTTATTTTACACTTTAGGCATCTTTGTATACTCCTCCATATCTCAGCTGTGTCTCAGTCCAGGGAACACAAAAGTAAACAGGACTCTGCATAATAACAGTTTTCCTCCTCCTTGCGGTCTCTCTCTTCAAAGTCTTTCCACAAGGTTGCTGAGAGGACGGGGGGAATGCTTAAGTAAAGCTGGAGTAACCACTTCCCAGCTGGGCGTGTCACTTAGGCTTCACACCACTTAGGCTTCGTGCCAAATCATTGTAGTGGAAACTCACACCCCTCATTTCACAAAGATATGTGACAGCCATGGCATTTGTGTTCACAGAGAATGTTTGTTTAGGAGAAAAAAAAAAAAACAGAGTATGATGTACAATGTTTCTTCCCCCCCAGAGTACAATTAAATTGCATTTGTTGTCTGCTGCTGAAAATTATTCTAAATTAGCCCTCTCTTTTCTTGCTTAATTCACTGAAGGCTTGCCAGCACACAATGTTCTCTCTCTTTATATCAATCTCTATGTTTCTCTGGAATCATAACCTGAGTTTAAGCATTTCTATTGGTTTTAAGTGACCTAGAGTGTGTTGGAAATGGTTTATTATTAATGACATTTTCTTAAACTTTGTCAGATTAGAATCGTTAACTGTATTATTGGGATTTCATGGGACACTACTTGAAAATCATAGCTCATAATTGTGAAGTGGTAGAATTAGTTTTCAACAAATTTTAAACTGTGGCTTCTTTCTACATTTATTGCCCTATGGTTAATTCTTTTGTAGCTTTATTTTCTTCCAGGATTTTTCCATCCACCCTCCCAATCGACTCTGACCTTCTTCTCTGTTGCTGCTGAGAAAAAGGATGATGGTAGCAGAAGATAAAGTTCAAGGACTCTGGTTGCTTTTACAAGGCACATTGCTTGGAGTAAACAAAAGAAGGCCTGTATTATAGTTGATCAGAGGATTTTTTTTTATTTCACAACTAAAAGTTAGAGCATGTAAGATTAACCACTGACTTTTGGGTTAAGACTCGGGTTTAGGTGAAGTGGAAAGGTAAAGTTAAGGCTTGGCTAAGTCCCTGAGGAATGTGTGAAAGTTTTGAAAAGCAAATCAGTGTAGATCTGTTCCTGAGAAAGAGAAATGGAATTTGGTAAAAACTGATTTTAAGGAAAAACAGAAACGGACAAAATGAAATATAGCATAATAATAAAAACAGTTGATAATTTATTTAGGTAAATAAAAAGCTTGATTTCAAGGATGAATGTGAGACTAAAATAAGAGGGACCCAAAGCTGAGTATGTCCAGAGGCTACGCAATAGTACGCACATCACATTGTAGATTGTGTGAGGCCTCAAGGCACATCAAATTATCTTAAATGAACTGGAAAAATGGAAAAAAAAGAAAAAAACCTCTCAAGAGTGTTCTGCCTGAATTCCAAAGAAAAGCCACACCATCAGATGTGTCAAGAGACCGATTCTTTAATAAAAATAAAAGATAACAAATGTTTTGTGAGTTTAATATGAAGTGTGTTTTCCAAACTTCAATACAGATGTAATGAAATTGCATCTGGCTTTTTAGTTTGTTTCTTTTGCTGCAAAAATAACAAGCATACCAAATTTCTCTTACATGAACTTGCACGTGTAGAAGACCGACTGGTCCTGCCTGAAATGGAAATAATTCCGTCCATTAGAGATTTTAAAAGAGCAAACATACATATAGTTATATTTAAAAAAAATACATAATGCCTTCTGATTTAGTGCCTTGTAACAACATGAATAAGTAGGTATTCAATATCATCATTATCTAATTAAACCCTCACCTTTCCCTTTGCCTTTCCCTCTTCCTTTACTTGGTGATCTTTTTGCCTTGGGACCCATTCTTCTTCTTTGGATCAACACGTTCACTGAGGATAAAGTGGCATAAATCCAACAGAGGCAGAGACTCAATCAACCATTTTAAAATTCACTGTTTGTAACTGGAACTAGACTTCAGTCAGCGGGATTATGAACAAAATCAGTGCATATGCTGACATCTTGTGGAGAAATCATGAATTACAATGAATTTCTCAGGGTCAATTAAATCAATGTATGAATAAAGTACATCAAGGTTCCTTTAAGGTTATTGGTAAGAAAATTGTATTGTACTAAAATAAATACTTTCAAACAGGCAATAAATGAATACATGTTCTTTCTGTAATAAGAAATAATAGTTAAACAAGGAGTCAGAGGCCTGAAAATGCAAGTCAGTAGCCTATAGTTTTACAACCAGAATAAAGATTTTATGAATCGATTGATAAAATCTTATTTTTTCTTTCAGGATTCTCTGTTTTGTATACAATTCTGCTTAGGTCTCACCACCGTGTTTAAAATGAACACCAATGAATTACTGTGTGGTTACTTTTAATAAATACGGAATTAAAGCTGCTTTTTCCTAACAAACATTTGCAACCAAAGAAAAGCACATAGTTTGAGACAAAGTATTAAACTGTTTTGCTCATCAGGGCACTACAGTAGCAATTTACCTCAGGTTTTGGAGACATACCGTTTGGATTGTTTTGCCCCCCAAAACTGCCGTGACCTACCTTGAATACATTATCTTTAGCTGCTGATGCTACGGTGATAAAAATACATAGATTAAGACCAGATTATATACAAATAAATAACTCTTACCGGAAGTTTAAGCCATATATTGAACTCCTTTATCGCTAAAACTAACTGCTCGTCAGTTGTGGACTGTTTGGTTGCCAAGGGTTACAAAAGAGGGCGGGGAAAATCAGTGACAGAGTGCTGTACAAGCCAATCAAGTCCCAGTTTTACAGTGACGTCAAAACAATGTTATAAATTTACCTGGGCAAGCTTGAATCGGGAGATCAGTGATCTGTAATATGAACGCAGACATGACCCTAACACCAAACCAGAAATCCCCGTAAGATGTATTGTTTTTATTGAAACGAATCTTAGTCAAAGTTCGTGTAAACTGCGGTGGGTGCTTCAGAAAATGATTGAAGTGAAGAACGGTAAGTAGAAGATTTATTGCTTATGTTTGGGAATATTATCCTTTTTTCTTGGATGCTTATTTCTAAACGAGAAAACAGTGTATTAGCGGCAGAATCTGCCCGGGTCTCTGAGTGGAAACCGTAATGAATTATTCATGTTCAGTTCAGATGCACCACGACTTCTTCCACACTCTGTCATTTGGTAAACTGTCCCTCGTTCATCCTAATCAGAGATACTAGAACAACGGGTTGATAATACGCCAAGTTTGGTAAATAAATTCTTTACTCTTATCGTAAGAAGCGAACTTATTTATTTCCTGGTTAAAGCGCCTTGCGAAAGTATTCATATCCCTTGCTTTCACATTTTGTTCCACCACAACAGTAAACTTCAGTGTACTTGATTATGATTGAGACATTTAAGAGGGGAAAGAAAAATGATTAAAATGTGTTTTTGTCTGTCTTTAACTTGATATGCCTAAGTATTGGATAGTTGTGGATTTAAGGCTTGAAATAAGTCATTTTGATTTGGATCTGGAAGATAAACCTTCAGCCCAGATTCAAGTGTTTTTCAGCCTCTGACAGCTTTTCCCATTAACTGTAATCTGCTTACATGTCCTGCATGATACTGCCACAATCATGTTTTCCTGTTACAAACAGCGAAAGTGGCATCTTTTGGATTTATTTGAGCAACAACATTGTAGATGTCACTTATCCAGTTTCTCCCACTTCAGCTTTGTATCTCTGCAGCTCATCCAGAGTAACCAAGTAACCTCTAGACTGCTTTTCTGAATAATTCTGTTCCCACCTGGCTGCTCACTTTAGGCAAACAGACATAGTTTGACAGGTTTGCAGTTGTTTAATCCTCTTTCTATTTCAGATGATGGATTGAACAGTGCGGCTTGTTCAATAACATTCTCTAACAAACCTTTACACTGAGAACACTGGAGTCTAATTGCACTATATATTATGTTCCATTTCACAATCAAAATTAACTACCTTGTGTTGGTCTTTCATTTGAAATTCTAATGGATAAACTTGACAGAATGTGAAAAGATTCAATGGATACAAAAATGTCTTTAAAGCACTTTATAGACATTACAACAAAAATGTAATAATAAATATGAGTCTTAAGGGATGAATGGATCGGTGCATAGAGTCTGAATACAAGTATTTATTGCAATTTGGGCTACACAATACATATGGTAGTAATGATACTGATTGTTATTAACCCAAATTTTCAGCACTCTTTATTTTTATTTTTCCTCATTACCCCTGCTGTCCCTGAGCTTTAGTCTCTACCTCACTAAAATCTAACTTCTTTGTGGGCATAAAATGCATTAAAACATTACCTACCTGGACAAATATGTTTATATTGGCATGCAGAGTTTCAAGAAATTTAACCTGAAATATTACGATGTACGATAATTCATCCAAGGAGTTGTTTGGGAGTGCAATATTTTACTTATAAAATTTTTGATGACGGTTCTGATTCAGTATATTGTTCAGCTCTAAAACTCACTGGCTGTTTTCTGTTTCACTTTGTTTCTTGCCTGAGCTGACATTTTGCTTCACATTTCCATTATAGTCTGCTCTACATGTGTCTTGCTTATTTGATCACTGTTTTTAGGCGCTGCAGTTTAAATTCAGACATGGAAGAGTCCAGCGAGACTTATGATGTCCATGAGACAAACCGTCCCATTTCGTGGGAAGACCACCAGTGTCAGAGCATGGAGGAGAGAACTGAATGCCTCCGAAGGAAGATCAAGTACTACTTCATGAATCCGTGTGAGAAATACCACGCGCGGGGACGGATACCTTGGAAACTCATGCTGCAGATTATCAAAATTGCTATAGTTACCATGCAGGTTTGTAGCTCTCCCAGATGCAATCAGAAGAATGACACTTCACTTTTTCTTGTCTCAAACTTCATCTGAAATGATTTTTGGTCACTGCAGCTGGTCTTATTTGGCCTGAGCAATCAGATGGTCGTTACTTTCAAGGAAGAAAATCTGCTGACCTTCAAGCACCTTTTCCTCAAAGATTATGTTGACGGAAGCATGGAAGCCTACGCCGTTTACAGACAAGCTGACGTTTATGATCACATCGACTACATTATTACTCAGGTGAGAGATATTATTGCTTGAATGAAAATTCATGTGACATTACCAATATTTTTGCTTTTGTGCTGCTGTTAATTATTGATGGACTTTTACCACTCTAGAGCCTTATATAACATGAAAGCCTGCAGATTGTATGTCACCACGGCACTGGACTTTGTTCACCTCCTTTCAGTTTTCCATTGATCATGATTGTGCTGTTCTGTCAAATAACTTGGTTTATGCATGCTACTGAGTTTCTTCTCCACCGTACTTTGTTATCCTCTCAGGTGTTGTCAGACTAATTTGAATGGTTTACAATTGCCCATTTACAGTACGGACTTCTGCACAACAACACTGTTGGGAATCATGAATATGAGAAAAATGGCTCTTCCTACAACCCGCTGCTTCTCTGTCAGAACTTCTACAGGAATGGCAGCATCTACCCTGGAAGTGAAACCTTTGAAATTGACGCTCATGTGGACACGGGTAAACGTTGTCATAGTTGTAACTCATGATTATCAGCTGCAAAAGTTAATTTATTTTTTTCATTTAATTCACAAAGTGAAACTTGTAGCATCATTATGAAGAGTGTTTATTTATGATACATGTGATGAGTATGGCTTACAGTGAAGGAAGAAAGACAATTTCTCAGAAAATTAGGTTATTGTATAGACCCCATAGTCACAGTGAAGACTGCTGACTTCACTGGACAGTTTTATGGACATCCTCAGGAAAAACAGTGAGCCACAAAAAGCCATTGCTAAAGACGCTGACTGTTCAGTGTTCTAATGCAAAATCGTAGCTTTAAATATAAGTGGAGGGAAAAAGCAAGAAGAATAACTGCAGCGCTGCGAGAATTGTACAGCAAAGCTCTTTCTAGGGATCAGCGCCTCTGGAGGATATCAGTGCATCAAAAGCCACCACACTTTAACACATTGAGGAAGTTTTAGATGCTTTATGAAAATATTGCTTTCATTTTCAAGCAGAAGACGTGACACTTTGTCACACTGTGAAAAATACCAATGGCCACTTCACTGACCATGCAAAAGAAGCCCACGTATTGATGCATGTGCTGTAGAGTCCAAGGACATGTTGATAAAATGTATTAAAGACACTTCTTTAAAATATACTTATTAAAATATATTTCCTCTTAAGATTTTATATTTATGCTTAACTTTCTGTCAGATGGAAGTCAAATTTCTTGCTTATGTACACAAACTAGGTTAATAAAACTGATTCAGATTTCTGATAAAAAAAAATAAAAATTTCTTTTCATATTCAAAAACAGAATTTTGTTTTTTTTTTTTCAACTGAACCATAATCATCAAAAGCAAGAGAAATAAATCCTCGAAATATGTCACTCTCTGTGTAATGTTAGTGTGTCATTTAAGAATTTACTTATTATATAGTGGAACTGATTTGACTTTTTAGTGATGCTGCACCTCCTCCAAAACAGCATTAGGGTTTTCCTTCCATGTGACGTTTCAAAGCATTTCTCCATGACTCATCAGTCTGTGCAGAACAATGTCTCTTCTGCACAGACTAACAACTAATCCAAACATGAAACGGCGGAGGTTTTGCATAACTTTTCGTGGTTTCTGGAAATGCAGACAGTTCCTTCTTCACAGTCTTGCGTTGTCAGAAGCTTTTTGTTTCGCAGACCGGAAGAAACTGCACTTCCCAAAAGAGGAATAAATGCTTGGCTAGTCATTTCAGAGAAGCTCTATTTAATCTCAAAAGTATTCAGTAAGTAGTCTTGCCTTTCTGGAGAGCGTCAGTTCTGGTTATGCACAGTAAGCAGCCTTATTTGGTCACAGGAGTAACTTGTAGTACAAGTTTCTCTCACTGAACTATGTTAACTAAGCTGATCCAAAAATCATCAGACGTCAAACATCTTAGAACATAAAACTGAGGAATTACCCTGGCTACTGATGACACAGTGAATATATAACAGGAGCTTTCTCTTAGTAAACAAAAAGGAGCTCATTGGAGCATTAAAAAAAAAAAATGTCCAATTTACCTTCAACAATCTGAGTGGTTGCTTTGTACATCTGGACATGAAACTGTTAAACAGAAAGCTCATCAGCTGGAACCGCATGAGACTGAGGAAGCAAACAAGAAAAGAATCCAGCACAACCTGGCCTGCTTAAAGCTACACCAGGTCAAGTCAGCGTGGCAGAGAGGAACAAAAACAAAGCCAACATGTTGAATGCATCCCAGTAGAATTGTTCTACAATGTAGAGAATCGCATTAATAAAGAACCCTGATGGATAATCACGTGTTTGTTGTCCCTCTGTAACAGAATGCCTTAAAATCTATCCAGCCAATCCCGTACCACTGCGTGACATGCCTGAAAACTTTGAACTGCATTTTAAAAGGTTGGTGAGAAATGTTTGTCTCTAAAACTTCCTTTAGTTCTCTTGTAATATGTTGTTTTTTTCATCTTGTTCTTTTTTGCAGGCTGCTCCTTGTGAAGGTCACATTCGCTGTAATGGCCATTAATCTGCAAACTGTGAGATATCGAGAGCTGCCTGACTGCTACGACTTCACTGTCATTGTATGTTTGTTTTGTTTTTTTTACCTCGGTAAACAGAAATAGTTCGCATTGGAAATACTAAAAAATTACTTAACTACATCTGTAATAATACCAAGAAAGAGTTTAATGAGATTGCTTCCTTCCTGGATTTAATTAAAAATTGTGATAAAAAAAAAAAAGATATTTCCTCTCACTGAGAAACATCTGTTGACAGATTACTTTTAACAATCAAGCTCACAGTGGCAGAATGAAAGTCGACCTGGAAATGGATGTGGAAATCAACGAATGCAAAGACTGGAAAGTCACTGGAGCCTGTAAGTTCACCAAACTGGGCGCAAATTAAGTGGGTATTCTTTAACCCGAGACTAAAAGACTTTTTATTTTCATTTCATTCTTTTAGCTGCAAGAAAGATCTACCTGACTGTGATGTTCGACTGCGTCATCCTCATTACCTGCATCACCTCCTTTGTGCTCTGCACACGCTCAGTGGTCAAAGGGGTTCTGCTGATGTTTGTGAGTAAAATACATTTTTCTCAATAAATTTAAATGTATGTCGACGTTTATTTTGTTTTGTGAAAATTTACTCAATATACCAAATTAAAACTGTCCTCAGAGATCACTGCTGGTGGTTTTATTGACTTGGGATGTATGGTTCTAGTTCTGTCAGCATAAACAGGAACGTGACTTCAGGTTCATACTTGTTTATCTTAAAACTTCCAAAGGACAAATGGCAGATAATTTTGAGCTGCCTGGTTTTAATAGGAGTGACCGATTATTTCTTAGCTTTACAGTGTTTCATGTTCATAAAAAACCAAAAATCTCTTCTTTTTTTTGTAAACAGGAGTACAGCCGTCATTGCAGAACACACTCTGGTAGAAACGTGCCGTGGTCGGACAAGCTGGAGTTTGTGAGCGGCTGGTACATCCTGATGATCGTCAGCGACACGCTGACTATCATAGGGTCCATTCTCAAGATAGAGATCGAGTCTAAGGTAATGAAGGCTTCTTTAGAAACTTCATGACTACCAGTTTCTGCATCATCATCAGACCAACCAGAACTTTTTTTTATACTGAGGTATGCAAGCTTAAGCTTAACTATTCCACTTTTCTTCCAGGTCTTTACAAGCTACGATGTGTGCAGCATCTTCCTCGGCACCGGCACCATGTTTGTTTGGATCGGAGTCATCCGTTACATGGGTTACTTCAAGAAGTATAACGTATGAATCTAAGTCTAATCCATCCATTGTCTATGTCTAACTTTAAAGAAGCATAATCGGTAAACAACAATTATAGTAAAATTGGACCAATATTCTAGTCACTTCTACGCTGATCACTTCTTAAAATGTTGTTAAAAATAAAAATGATGTCATTAGAAAGCCTTATCAAGTGTATGGTTTAGTTGTGAGGCTATTTTTCAGCAGATTTACTTCTTATAATTAATAATAAGGTCAAAAGACTTACATTATGCATCCATCCATCCATTTTCTTCCTCTAATCGGGGTCGGGTCACGGGGGCAGCAGCTTCAGAAGGGAGGCCCAGACTTTCCTCTCCCCAGCCACTTCTTCCAGCTCCTGCAGGGGAACCCCAAGCCGTTCCCAGGCCAGCCGAGAGACATAGTTCCTCCAGCGTGTCCTGGGTCTTCCCCTCCTCCCAGTGGGACGTACCCAGAACACCTCACCAGGGAGGCGTCCATGAGGCGTTATGACCAGATGCCGAGTCACCTCAATTGGCTCCTCTCGAAGTGAAGGAGCAGCGGCTCTACTCTGAGTGCCTCCTGGATGACCGAGCTTCTCTCTCTAAGGGAGAACCCAGTCACCCGGCAGAGGAAACCCATTTCGGCCGCTTGTATCTGTGACCTTGTTCTTTTGGTCATGACCATAGATGAGGGTAGGAACATAGATTGACTGGTAAATCGAGAGCTTTGCTTTTTGACTCAGCCCTCTCGCCACCACGACGGACCGGTACAGCGCCAGCTTCACGGCAGACGCTGCGAAAATCCACCTGTCGATTTCCTGCTCCCTTCTTCCCTCATTCATGAACAAGATCCCCAGATCCTTAAACTCCTCCACATTACATTATGCAGCAAGTCTTTATTTTTCCTGTTTTGGCATTCAGGCAGAGTCTGAAGAAGCTGGTGCATGTGGCGTCCTAATTACATCTTTGACTTTATTAAATCAGGGTTTCCTCAGACATCAAAGTTACAGGCTGCATAATGAAATAACGGGTGTTGGCATGACCTGTGGCCATCTGGATTATGAGCATTTGTGAGTGAATTAGTGTGTGTGGGTGTGTAAGGAGTGGTCTGTTTGTAAAGTAAGTGTGTGTGTTCAATAGATGTGTGTGTGCTAATTTGTCAAATGGAATTGAGAATTTATAATGTTGGCATTCAGCAGCCAAGTCTGTGTTGACCGACAGCTTCAGTTTATTACATTGCAACACTTTTAGAAGTGACCAATATAGAAGTGACTGAAGTTTTTGGTCAGATTTGATCATTTTACAGAAAAGAAAAAATGAGTGCATTTGTTTGGATGCAACTCATACGACAGCAGCTGATGGGCCCAATCCATATATATGTTCCACATTAATTAAGCCTCATTTATACACTTACTGAGACACTTGGAGGTTTTGTTAACTGCAAGAAATAGTTTGAAATCTGTTTAAACAGCTGCAGAATGAAAATATTTCAGCATTAACTGCAAAAATATTCAAGAAGTTAAACTCTTAAGGTTTACAGTCACTGTGTAATGAAACAGTTCAGTTATCAAAGGAAAGATCTATTAATGAAGTGCAGTGAAACACATTAATAATCCTGTGTCAATGTTTAAATTGTCATAAATAAAATGAGATTCAGACCAGATATATTTAAAGAGTTTACAGTCTGAAGGTTTTTATCCTGGGAAAAAGAAAATCTGCTATAGTTTGGATTCTGAAGCCATTTAAAATCTATTAGTTCTGATTGAAATCAGCTTTTCTCATTTCCAATTAACCTCCTTTCACTGCAGTGTGACAGACTTTGTGGATGTAAATATGTCTTCTTGAAGAGGAATATTCAGACTATTTAAAATAAGCAGTCGGCAATCTTTGTCATTCATACATTAACATGGACTTTGCAAGACTTGCTGTAGCTTCGTTTTGAAAAAGAATAAATTTAGAAAATTCAGTTTGTAACCTTAGATTTAAAATAAATTATTTTATTTTTTTTGCCTGCTTTTAGATTCTCATCGTGACGCTCCGGGCAGCTTTTCCAAACGTTATCCGTTTCATCTGTTGTGCTGGAATAATATACATAAGCTACTGTTTTTGTGGCTGGATCGTGATTGGCCCGTATCACGAAAAGGTAACGACCCACCGTCGTGTATTTGGATTAAACAGAAATCTAATGCATTTGACAGTTTTTCATTCTGACCTGTTGTTTAGTTCCGGACCTTAAACACCGTGTCGGAGTGTTTGTTCTCACTGATCAACGGAGACGACATGTTCCCTACATTCAAAGATATGCAGCAGAAGAGTAACCTGGTGTGGATTTTCAGCAGAGTCTACCTCTACACCTTTGTGTCACTCTTCATCTACATGATCCTCAGTCTTTTCATCACAATAATCACCGACACATACGACACAGTCAAGGTACAGGCAGCAATAAGCGCACCGTTTGCAGCATTAATAATTAATGCCCTGTTAGGATCTTTAAACCAGAACAGCCATTCTGACACTAAAGTTTGCCCCCTTTTCTTGATTTCCTTTCGTTTAGCAGCAGCAGGAGAACGGAGTCCCAATATCAGAGCTGCAGAAATTTCTCTCTGTGTGTAAAGATCTGCCAAATTCTGGAGTTTACAGACTTGAAAAGAACGAGAGCTGCATCATTAGCTGCTGCATCAACAGGTAAGATCACATCTGTTCTTTTTTTTTATTTTATAACTTTATTTTTGTTGAGGTTATTAGAGTACACACAAGAAGAAAGGTCAAACAATACATAGAAACTATAAAAGACAAAAAATACAGAACAATTGGAACAAAAATCACACACCAGGGGGAGACTCTTATTTTAGTAACACAAAACACAAGGGGACCATTCATATCCAAAATTAATCCTGTATCGTTGATGTGAAGTTTGTCCATTTTTCCCATTTGTCCAGGCATTGCTGTTCCTGTGTCCTCAGTCTATGTGTTAGAATCTCCATCTCAAATAATGAGTTCACAGTCTGTATCCACTCCTTTGTGGTAGGAGGTTCAGATTTGCACCACTTTCTGGTTACCACCATTTTGGCTGCCATCAACAGAAGTTTTAACAAATAACATTCATTAAGTACGATATTGTCCAAAAGACCCAGGTATAAAACCAGGCCAGAGTTAGGTATTGAGTAACCCAGTATTGTTACAATCTTATTGTGTATTTCGTTCCAGAACTGTGTAATTCTAGGGCAAAGCCAGAAAATATGCGCGTGATTAACATTAAGTGCTCCACAATCTCTCCAACATGGCTGAGCTCTAGATTTGAATTTACTAGTAATTTGGGGTGTTATAAAAAATCTGATTATATTCTTCCAACAAGGTTCTCTCCAAATTCTGGAAGAGGATGTTGTAATTTAGGTCTTCCAAATATTCAGCCAGCCATCTTCGGTTGGCAGAATATCCAATTCCCTCTCCCATTTTGTTTTAATATTAAATGTGTTAGTGCTTCTATTTTCTAACAGATATTTATAGAGTAAAGACACTATTCTGTGTTTTTTTACCCTTATTGGTCTCGATCAGCATTTTGACAATCCCATTTTCATTTGGGTCAATTTTTTGTTTTATTTCTTTGTTATAAAGTCCCTTAATTGTAGGTATCTAAACTAATCTTGAGTTCTTGGAGCAAACTCTTGCTGTAGTTCCTGGAAACTTTTAAAGTGCCCATCTTAAGGACCATGCATAATGCTGTTTCTAGCCATTGTTTAAATTGTGGGTCTTGAATAAAATATTTATTGTAGGCTGGCCACTGGATCAGACATAATAGTTTCTCTAATTTGCATTTTCAGATTATATACTGTATAACCATTTACCCATTGAAAAACTAATGGCATTAACATTCTTAAGTGTATTCTGAGTGGTCTCTATATCTCCAGTGATACTCCGCAATTCTCTTCCATTGACTTTTTGTTCAATATTTTTCCATTTCGCTTCATAATTTTTGGCACTTATATTTATTATGGGAGTTATTTGGGCAGCATGATAATATTTTCTAAAGTCATGTAATGCCATACCTCCTTTCTCTTTGATTTCTTTTCAATTTCATATGTAAGCATTTTATCAATGTTGTTTCTTAGTTCTTTTATTTTTATAAACAGGTTGGGATTTGGGTTAATTTATGTTGTTTTTCTAGATCTGTTAGTTGAGAAACATAAGATTCTTCCATCTCCAATTTCTGTTCACAGGCTTTCCTTAGAACCATTTCCTTTGTGTTGAATTGCAAGAAATTCACAGTTATAGATCTCGGGGCCGTGTTGGGAGGCGGTCTGGGAGCCAGAGCTCGGTGTGCCGCTGAATCCGTAGTTCACTTCCATCCGGTAGCTTCAGCCGCTTGATCAGCAGATCCGTGACAAACTCTGAAACCGATCGACATTTCTCACAAGACCGGAACTCCATAGATACGAAGATTATTTCTCCGGCTTCCGCTCTCCAAATCCACGCGTTTGTCGTTCATAGCTCTGTTCCGGGTCTGCGCCTCGGTGATCCCGCCCTTCTGGTTCTGCAGCTCGCGCATCATTTCCTCTGAATCTGTTGAGATCTTCCTTCATTGTTGCCTTTACATCTTCTTTGAGTTCTTCTATGTCTTGCTTCATCTCGTTTTTAAACTCTTTTAACCTGTCATTCACGAGAGGACCCAAATTTGGGTCCTCTCGTGACAGGGGTGTCAAACTCCAGTCCTCAAGGGCCGCTGTCCTGCAACTTTTAGATGTGCCTCTGCTGCACCACACCTGAAAAGAATAATTAGGTCATTAGCAAGGCTCAGGAGAACCGATCTACACAGGGAGGAGGTAATTAAGCCATTTCATTCCACTGTTTTTTACCTGTGGCACATCTAAACACTGCAGGACAGCGGCCCTTGAGGACTGGAGTTTGACACC